TAGATATGCAATATGTCATAATACTACAATATAAGACACATGTAAAATATTTATTTATTTCCCAAAAGTTCAGACACTCTACTCATCAAATAGGTTGTAGGCAAGTATGCATATTGAATAAATTCCTCAAAGTCCTAAATCCGTTAATCTTGCAAGAAAATGAGATAAAACAAGAACAAAAGACATCGCATAGGAATCCACTTAAAGCCATATATAGATGTCATGTCGACATCCAATCTAACATAATATGGCACTTATAAAAAGAATAAAGAATGAATTTTTTTTAAAAGTTCTCAACATAGATGTAATACAAAACAAACCACGAAGACCAATTGTCAATGACCTTGGTTATGGAAGAACATAAGTGCAACAATGTTGAGGAAGCGACGACTAAGACAACGAAATAGACAATAAGATACAAATGATGTAGGAATGGGAGGAACAGAGTTCTACGTCAAAAAAGGGTTAATTAAACTCTTCCCGTTGCGGCGTTGAGCAAGAAAGGAAGAAAAAAAGGATGAATAAAAAATTTATATCTTTGTTTCTTTGAAACTAGAAACACAAGAAGCCACAACCTACCCGAGACACACAAATAATGGGTCTAAATAATTGACATACCTGGTCTTGTGTGAAGAAAGAAGAAAATGCAGAGGAGAGATAATGTGCAAGGTAACTAAACCCTAATGAAACGATAATTGGTGCTGACTAATGAGTGATGGACTGGGGGAAATTACTTGAGAAGGGTTGGGATGAAGTCGTGGGCCAGCTTGGAGGCCGATGGGCCAATTTTTTTAAGTTAAGACTGTGGCCCAATTATTAAACAATTTTTTCAACCAGCCCAAGACTGGACTATTAACTAAAAAGGCCAGGCCAGTAGTGGGCCAGGCTGGAGGCTCCTGTAGGCTGGCCCGACCCAATTTTGCCCCTATGCGCAGTGATTAGTACATTGGCTTTAAGCCAATAAGATATCTCTTTGATAGATATCTCTGAGCGCATACATTTGCGGTATAGATCTACAGATCATTAGGACTGAACAGATACATTCCAATCCTTGCTCAACTAGACTCGAATCGTAGCTACCAAAGGAAGCTTTCTAGTGTCATTATCATCGCTGGTAAGTGAGCTTAAAGCTTGTAAAAAGTCACTTTCAACTTCTACATTCCTCCAACCATTATCCCAAGCATAAGTTAGTCCATGTAGCACTGCCCAAAATTCCACTTGAAGAGATGACCGTAATTAAGTGTTTTTTTAAGGGATAAAGAAGTCTCATATTGTAGGAATTTTTTAATCTCATGTCGTAGTTACAACAAGAGTGCAACACATCTATTTAAAATATAGAAAAAGAGTGGCACACCTTTTTATGGTGTTTGTAGGAAAGGTTTGTTCTTCCTACTCTATGAGAAAAACAAACCCTTTTTTTAATTATAAACAAAAAGTAATTTCTCAAACAAATTTGGGGATAGAGTTGAAATTTAACGACATAATTTAAATTATGGGACTTAAATAGGTTTTAAAAAATATATCAAGATATATAGAATATATTATATAATGTTGAAAGTTTGGAGTATTTTAATTGGGAAAAGTTACATTCACTACCATTTTTTCTTACTACCAATTTTGTTATTGTTGGATTAACATCAAATCAACGGTTCTCACTTGATGTTATTTTGCAATCGTTGATTTAATTTTGATTGAACGATAACAAAGTTGGTAGTAAGAGATAGTAAGAAAAAATTATAGTAAGTATAAATATCCTATTTTAAATAGTTCATAAAATTAACTTTTTTTATGGGATAATAAGTTAAACTTACTACCATTTTTTATTTACTTATTAACTTCAAGTGAGAACCACTGATTTGATTTTGATCCAACGATAACAAAGTTGGTAGTAAGTACAACCTCCCCTTTTTTATTTAGTTATTTCATAATTTAATTTTGGAAAATGTTATACTTACTACTATTTTAACCTTACTATTCTTATTACTTGATTGTTACCGTTGGATAAATTTGAAATGAATGGTAGTTAATTTTTTAACCATTGATTTCAAATTGATCTAACGATAACTAATCAGGTAGTAAGAGTAATTAGACTAAAAAAGTAGTAAATATAACCACCCCTATTAATTTTTATTTTAGGGTTCCTATTTTGTATTAGTAGAGATAAATGTCTTATCTTTTATTAATATGCAATTTTATTATCTGTAATATTTCTCTATTATTCCTCCAAGTCACGAGCTTTATTTGGTCAAGTTGATAAGTGGAGACATGTGCCCTGACTTTTCCAAGCAATGAGTTCTACCAACTCTAATTGTTTTTTTGAGGCGAGTTGGTCCCTTGGGTATTCCACAAACTTTAACTCTTTAAGCCGGTTATGAGACTAATCCCAAGTCGGGGCTTAGTTACAATTAAAACTCTTCGTCTCTTTCCAAATATGTATTTAGTGGGAATCGAAAATAAGTTTTTCCTCATCTACTTAGTCTGTGTTGTCAATTAAGTTACACACGTTGGGTTCATGCAATGGCGGACCTGTTTACATGCAAGTGTGTGCAAGTGCACACACAAATATTTTGAAAAAAGAAGAAGAATAAAATACATTTTGGGTCATCAACAAAAATTACGGGACCGATTTAATCTCTTAAAAAAAAGTCATCTCGTGATTCCTCTAAATTTCAAAATAGACTCATGTTAGTCTTTTTGAGGGACTAATGTGATCTTTTTGAATTTCAGAAGGACCATAATTTTGATTATTTGGGTCTATTTTTAATTCTGAGGGACCACGAGTAGATTTTTTTTCTAAGGGATTAAATTGGGGCTCAAAACTTTTGTTGAGGATCCAAAATGTTCTATTATAACAGTTTAGTTGACTCTTGATTATTTTTTTTATGTTAAGTTAAAGTTTTCTTTTCTTTTTATGTTTATATTCTTTTGTATTTTAATATATTTAATTTTTTTTCCTTTATTATTTTATTCTAAGTGTGCAGACATAAATAAAATTTTCTAGGTTCGCCATCGGGTTCATGAGTTTTACTTTAGTTTTATATTATGCATCCATTTTTTAGGTGTTTTGTGTCATTTCAATCTTCAACATAATTCGTCCACACGATATGAATATGACATGAAAAATTTGTATTCGAGTTGACATATTTTTAAATTTGTGTCGTGTTTGCATTAATAAAACTTAATATGAAAAAATACTTGTTGTCAATATAAGCGAATCATATTTGTGTTGAAGGTTTTGACCCGCTTTCAAATTCATGTTAAGTGTATTGATATCTGTATCAAATTTGTGTCGTGACATATCAACTTGAATTGCTATCTCTGTCTCGCATGTCTTGTCGAACCACATCAAGCACAAACAAACTTGATCATAAGAACTATGATTTTTGGTTCGAAAATATGACAAATTTGGATATCTCAATGGTGATATTTCAAAATATATTTTTAACTAAATCTATGTTTTGGTAGTGAAAAATTGAAGATTCGATCATGAAAGTATGGTTAATTAACTATATTGAGATACTTACATAAATTGTGTCAAGTAGGGATTTTCATAAACCAGTTGGTAAGTTGAGGATTTTCGTGATAGCTATGCATTAATTAGGCTAAAAAAATTTCAAACATCCAAGAATAATATTATAAAGAAGTAGGATATTTATACTACTAATTATTTTTATTACTAATTTACTATCATTCTAATCAATGTTGGATCCTATTTTTCAGCTCACAATTTTTGAAAAGTTTATGAAGAGAGACAAAAGAAAAACAACTTTTAATTACTCCCCAGAGTACATAATTATATTAAAGTAATGAGGAATGTTATATTTACAAATTTTCTATTTATAAACTCTTACAAACTACACTATGTCTAACCGGTCAGGCGGTCATACACTAATTTAATATAATTTGTAAAAAAAATTTATAAACGAATCCTTCCCCTAAAGTTGATTGGTAATAGAAAAAAGTGATAGTATGAATATCTTATCTTTATTATAAAATAAAATATTAAGATTGCATCTTACATCATAGAGAATCTTTTAGAATTATTTTATCTATTTGTTTATATTTCATTATTATTTTCTGATTTTAGGAATTTTTATTCAGTATAAACAGCTATTTGTAATGTGGCTTTTGTATCAAATCATTTTGTATTTATATGTGATATTATTTTATTTATTATTCGCCATCATTTTTTTCCTATACCTAATTTTCTACAATTTCAAGGAGAGTATGATCCAGAATAAATATTGGCTCAAACGCAAAAACAAATTTTTTATCTTGAGTTAATTTTTCTTATAAAATAATTATGATTTAGTGTGTATTAGAATTAATTTATTTCACATGTAAAAATTTATAATTAAAATTTTTGGTAAACAAATAATCAAAATTAATCATTCTATTTTGCGATTGATATTAAAGAAACATTTTGTCAACTTCCATTTAAAAATAATAATTTCTATTCGTTGACCTTTTTTTTTAATTTTTTTTTTTATAATTTTCTTCTTGTCCTCCTTTGCTCAAATCTCGTACCATTGAAATAAGTTGAAGTAATGATTCAGCAGGCCACGGAACAAGTCGTGGGCACGAACTGGAAGAAGCGTGAAAGACGAATTAAGAAAGAAACAACATATTTAAAATTGCATCAATCCTACCGTATTACGTGTAGAAGTAGAACTTCAAAACAAGCAATTATTTCAATAATATACGATTTTTTTTTTTTATATTTCAATTGAAATATAAAATAAAATAAAAATATCAGCGTCAACATCAACTCAAAAGTTGCAAACATCAACGTCAAGAAAAATAATTAAGAAAAAAAATATAAATATATTAAGAAAAATAAATATTTAAACCAAACTAACATGTATACTCCATAATAAAACCAACTTTTAATTCTATCAAGTTAAGAACGAGTGATATATGATTTTATGAAATACAAGTTATAATAACCAAACAGGCCCACGCGCAACACAAATACAACATTGTAATTATAATCATTACGAAACTCCCTTGTAAAACGCGGGTTGAGGGCAATCGTAATCTGAGGTTATTGTTTCTGGGACGCATGCGTTAACGTTGCTGCCTCTTGTGTTTCCATTGTTGTTCTCTGTTGTGTTCTCCAGCACCTTGATGATCAACAGAATTTCAGTTTTAATGCTCAAACAACGTTTCTTGTTAATCTGATGAACCATGATTTTTTAGCTACCAACTTGTCTGTAAGGTGCCAAAAAGGGTACGTACCCTTTATAGCTACGAATTTGTATAATAGATATATCTTTCTAGTTGTGCAATCATTCTATTCCGCTTCAATTTTTCTTTTTACCCAATTTTTGTTTATAAGATATGTATGTGACTTTCTTTTTATGTTTTGTTGAATCCATGAATTAAGGTCAAGGCATTGGATTCGACATCTTGGCCCTGGAATTGATTCGTTTTACCGGAAGAACAGTTTTTGGTATCATTATTTATTCTTGTGATATATGGGGATTTCCTCTGACAACGTAACTGGGCTTGTTCTGGCTGTCTCTTCCAGCGTTTTTATTGGCTCTAGCTTTATAATTAAAAAGATGGGGCTAAAAAAAGCTGGTGCCACTGGGAAAAGTGCAGGTTCATCTCCTCTTATATGCTTCTTCCCTTTTTTGCCCCCTTCACCCCCTCTTTTGTTTTTTGGTTTTTGACATGCTTTCATTTCATTTGGGTTATTGAAAAGTCTTGAACTTAAAGATTACAATGCATTGAATTGCCATTTGTTTAATTATTATATTTGTTTTGATTCAATTTGAACAGCCTCTGGAGGGCATGCATACCTATATGAACCTTGGTGGTGGGTTGGAATGATCTCAAGTAAGTGATTTTCTGTTTTCTATTTTTATTTTTATTTTTAGTTTTTTGGGTGTTCCCTTTAGTGAATTCTAGTATATTATGTAGCATTGAGAGCTAGGGAATTGGATTGGAATGTGCCTTTGCCACCTTTATTATTAAATTTTCAGGGTAAGGCTGCGTTTTAGCTTCAGTGCCAAGGAATTGGATGAGTTTACTTTTTTCAGTTTTTCCTATTTCAAGTCAAGTGGTTTTTTACCCAAGGGTGTGTGTCATATTTACAGAAAATGTTCTTGGACCTTAACCCATCTGAAGTTTAATGTTTCTTAGACAGAGAGAATGATTTCTGTTACTTCTATGGTCTAAAACACTTAAGTATGTTTTTGGGCAATCAAATTTTTTGTGAAATTCCCCCAACTTTTCATGGGGCTTCAGTGGGTTCTGATAGTGTTCGGGGTTTGTAATGGTTATATTGATTGAAAACACTAGGATTTGAATTTTTTTGTTTTAACTAAATTTTTTGAGGAATATTTCCTTTTCTCCTTGTTTGGAATAAGAAATAAAGGGGAACAATGAGTAATTTAAAAATCAGATCTGATATACTGAATCAAGGTATTGCTAATGGGACTTTGACAGTGTTTCCTATGATCTTGGATTTATATGTCTTGCATCTAAAAGGAAACAGAAAAGAAGTTATTTTACTGCACTGCCATGATGTTCATTGCATCATTAGAAGAGGCGCAAAATAACTTTTACCTAATGACATAATCAGAATTTACCATATGATATTGCCAAATACATCCCAGTGATGAAGTTATTTGATCTTAAGCTTATGTTGGTTAGCTGCAAGGAAGTCAAGTACATCTCTTATAGGGTGCAATTTTTGTTACTACCATAAAAGACACAAGTCCTATCATAGTAGGTGTACACCAAGGCTCTGCTTTGAGTTCTTATTTTTTTGCTCGTTATGGATGAACTAACTAAAGATATCCACGATGAAGTGCTAGGGTGTATGTTATTTACAGATGATATTGTTTTATTGATGAGACCAAAGTTGATATTAACATAAAACTAGAATCATGGAGAAACACGTTAGAGTCTAAAGGATTCACGCTAAGTTGAAGTAAGACTGAGTATATGACGTGTGAGTTTGTTCTGACAAGAGATAGGGATCAAGATTTCATGTATTTGCTTGAACAATAGGTACTCAAGAAAGATGTCTTTAGATATTTGGGATTTATTTTGCAAAAGGGTGAAGAGGTTGATTAGGATGTAAACCATAGAATTAAAGCAGGTTGGATGAAATGGAGTAGTGCATCGAGGTTTTTGTGGGATTGCAAAATTCCTCTGAGTCTAAAAGGAAACTTTTATAGAACAACAGTAAGGCCTGCAATGTTATTCGGATCACTCAGTATTTTATCACCACTCTATTTCAGGATCCATTTATTTGGTGGCGTATGTTAATGACATTGTCATTAAGGGTGATGATCATCATGGCATTACTCAAGTAAAACAACATCTCTGTCATCGTTTTTAGACAAAAGACCTTGGAAGAATCCGATATTTCTTAGGGATAGAGGTGATCTAATCTAAAGATGGTATTGTGATATTCCAAAGGAAATATGCTATGGACATTCTTGAGGAGACAACTTTGTTAAATGCTAAGCCAATCGAAACTCCTTTGGATCCAAACATCAAGCATATGCCAAATCAGGGGGAGCTATTCTCAGATTCAGAAAGTTATAGAATATTAGTTGGGAAGCTAAACTACCTCACATTCACTTGACCAGACATCTCGTTTGATGTCAATGTGATAAGTCAGTTCCTGAATTCTCCTTGTGAAGATCACTGTAATGCAGTGATTCGTGTTCTTAATTATATCAAGACAACTCTAGGTAAAAAATCTCTTTTATAAGGCAATGGTCATACCCGGGTTATGGGATACTCACATGTTGATTGGGCAGGTTGCCTTACTGATAGGAGATCCACCTCTAGGTATTGTGCATTTGTTGGAGATAATTTAGTATCCTGAAAAAGCAAGAAATAGAGTGTAGTTGCCATATAGAGTGCTGAAGCAGAGTATCGTTCTATGGTCACAACCACTTATGAACTCATATAGCTAAAACAACTACTTAAGAAGCTCAAGTTTGGAGATACTGGACCAGCAACTCTCATTTCCGATAATCAAGCTATTTTGCATATTGCTTCCAATCTAGTGTTTCATGAAAGGACTGAGCATATTAAGATAGATTGTCATTTCGTCAGAGAAAAGGTCCTCTTAGGAGATATTGTCTCCAATTTTGTTAACTCAAATGATCAACTGACTGATGTGTTCACTAAGTCTTTGAGAGGTCTTGAATAATTACATATGTAACAAGCTTGGTGTATATGATCTATATGCTCCAACATGAGGGGGGTGTTGTATATATAGTAGTTTAGTGTAAGGGATGAAGTCCCACATCATGTATATCTCTCTGTAATTCCTTTTCATTCAGTTGTATAATAGATCCTCCGTTATGCAGTTGAAACACACAAATTTTAGTATATGCCTCTCAGGTCTTGATATTTAACAAAGCTTATTGACCTATGGACTTACGTTATGCGTTTGTGTTGGCATGAGTATATGAGTCTCAACCTAGAAGCAATCAGCCATTTCAACTGCTTCCCTCAATAGCATCAAGCTTGACTTCTTATACGACCTCCCAATCACCTGTCACTCAACTTCTTATCAAACATTTGATAGCCAAAGGGATGCAAATGCAACAAAACAAAGGATTATGCTTCAACTGCAATGAAAAGTTCATGCACAGGCATCAATGCGAAATCCCGACCCTTTTTATATTTAGAGGGTCTTTTTGCAACATGAGGGACGATTCAGTGCTTCTTGAGCTTGTTGAACTGGATCCGACTTGAGGACAAGTCACGTCCTGATGGGGGAAGGGATGGTACACACCAAGGCTTTTGTGTGGTATGAATTAACATTTACTAGCTTCCATTAATAAAAGATTGGATTGATATTGTTAGAGATATATAAAACTATTAATGTAACCTCTCTCAATAGCTTAAGCTTTTGGGTTGAATTGGTTTTTTACATGGTATCAGAGTCTCACCGCCCCCTATTTAATAATAAATTAAGTCTTGTGGAGTTTCTTAGCACAGGTAGGCTGAGCCTGATGTGTCATCCACCCTTAAAGCTCAATGTGCTCTTGCGTGAGGGGACGTGTAAAAGATATATAAAATCATTAATGTAACATCGCTTAATAGCTTAAAGTTTTGGGTTGAATTGGTTCTTTACAGGTATAACTCTAGATTAATACTAATTAGCATTTGTTAGCTTCTATTGATAAAATTGTGGTATTAATTAGTCTTGATTAGTATCAATTAGCATTAGCATTTATTGGTTTTAGTATTTGAAATTGTTAGAGATATATAAAACCATTAATGTAGCCTTACCCAACAGCTTAAGCTTTTGGATTGAATTGGTTCTTTACATGGTATCAGAGTCTGGTTGTCATGGGTTCGATCCTCACTGCCCCCCATTTAATTAATAATTAATAAGTCTTGTGGAGTTTCTTAGCACATGTAGACTGGGCCTGATGCATCATCCATCCTTCAAGCCCAATAGGCTCTCGTGTGAGGGGGCATGTTAGAGATATATAAAACCATTAATGTAGCCCCCCCAAAACCTTAAGCTTTTGGGTTGAATTGATTCTTTATAGAAATCCTTGTAGTAAAGGCCACAGTTGCTATATGGAATAAAGAAGAGGAAATTACTTCCTTCCAATCATTAATTCTCACCTTTTCTCCACTCTCTCCCTTCTTCTATGTATTTGATCTCTGCAATCTGCCAACTCTAAAAACACTCATGTTAGGTACAATCTGTTAAATGTTGACCCTATTTTGCATTTACTCCTCATGATGATAGTGCAAAGTTCTAAATTTGAATAAGTGTTAACATCTCTTGTACATCAAGGGAGTTGGATTACGAGTTATCACAAAAAAGAAGAAGCAACCAGCATAGTAGGTACACTTGGTTGTGAGTTTCATATTTGATAAAGCTTTGAAAGTTCAAAATTGGGGCTGATTTTATCATAGACTATCTTATGAAAGAATTCGGTCAATCAGGGAGGTCATTCTGTATGAAATATACTAATATAATGTCAGAATATTTAGAAGTAGGTTTTGACAAGATGTTCAATAAAATTGTATTGCTTACTGTGAAATCTGAATGCATTTCATTGATCTTAAGTTCCATACTTTTACATGATATAGTTGGGGTGATATCTAATATTTCACTTTTGTATTTTATGCTTGCTTTCTATATTAATAAGTTGCCTCTTTTTTCAAAGAAGTGAGCTTTTAATCTGTTCCAACCCTAAAGTAATGATGAGTGGCACTGCCCCTGTTTACTCTCAAAGGCAAGAGGAAAGAAGAAAAAGAGAGAGAGAAGGGGGGGGGGGGGTGTAATTGTCATACGTTGAAGTTTCAATGTCAAGAAAGAATCAAGTACCTTTTTGAATTGATAATCACTATCAGAATGCCCTGGCAAGAATCAATCCTGTGCCATTTCTATATATTATTATATATATCTAGGGCCTATGCATTTGGTAGAGCAAATTTTCCATTGTAACTCTTAGTATTCTGTAATAATATAAAATTATATAATAGTTATATAATAAATAATTCATTTGTTTCTGTTCCCACCAATCTTAGGAAAATTTCAGCAACTAACTTCACATATATGCCTAAATTTTTTAGTGATCGTTGGGGAAATAGCCAATTTTGCTGCATATGCATTTGCTCCTGCTCTACTTGTAACTCCTCTAGGAGCTTTAAGCATCATTTTCAGGTAAGGAACATGGTATTCTTCACAAAACAAATTCCTAGGGTGCTTCTGTTTTCTTCAACACAAATGCATCATCTTCATCCATCAAATTTTAATTTGGATACTTGCATCTTCATGATGCAGTGCAGTACTAGCTCACTTTATCTTAAAAGAGAGATTGCACATCTTTGGTGTGCTTGGATGTGTTCTCTGTATGGTGGGATCTACAACTATTGTTTTGCATGCTCCGCATGAAAGAATTATTCACTCTGTTAAGGAAGTGTGGCATCTTGCTACCGAACCAGGTATTTTTTAACCCTTGTTTGCTAAGTTCTAACATTTTTTTTCATTGAATCTTGTCAAAAGCCAAAGCAGGAGGATACAGGAGTGGGGTGCATTCAGGTCTTAATGGATTCAAGGCATTAATTTATGGTTATTTAAGCTAACATTAAATTTTTTTCTTCATCAACAGGTTTTATTATCTACAGTTGTGCAGTTGTGATTCTGGTTGCTGTTCTCATTTTCTATTTTGTTCCACAGTATGGGCAGACCCATATGATCATATATGTTGGAATTTGTTCTCTCACAGGCTCACTTACGGTATTAATAATATCTTGAATGCCCATGTTTGTCATGGTTGACCATAAACCTGCCCTCTATAGACCTAATGCTGATATTTGTTGATAGGTTATGGCAGTGAAAGCAGTCGGAATAGCTTTGAAGCTTACATTTGAAGGCACAAATCAATTCACATACTTCCAGACCTGGTTCTTTACAGTGGTTGTGATAGGATTTTGTCTTTTGCAGATTAACTACTTGAACAAGGTAAGCTTTGGCATTATATCTGTCAGTGCATGTACTAGTGGCTGTCATTATGCTGTGTCTTCCAGAGCATAACTTAAATGATTACACCAAAATTGAATATATATATATATATATATATATATATATATATATATATTTGCTGATGATTGGAGTACTAGTATGGAAAACATTTCTGCTCTTTCTAGGGCCTTCATCGTTTGAAACTACTAAGTGGTAAATTGTTATGCTTAAAATTTTTAACTAAGATTTCTCACTCTTTAGGACTTGTAGCATCAGCTAAATGACCATGTTTGCATCTCATAATCTAGCATGTTAACAAAAGGTTCCGTACTATTTTTCTCAATTTGCATTGAACTGTTTCACTTCCTTCCAGTTTCAATGAAGGATGAGTAAAGCTTTACATGCGATATTCTAGAAATGGCATGGCATCTTTTTTATGCCACTTATTTCCAGCAGACTTACAATTGAACTTCATTTCGGCATTCTCTAGAGTTTCTTTAATAGTTAAAATCTGTAGTGCTAGAATCCTGAAAATAAGTGTGTTGAGTTAGTAGTTCAAGATAATAAGCTGACCAATGTGTGAATCAACTATTTCAACCCAAAAACTTAAGTTACTACATGAAGGTCGCATTAATGATTTTATATTATATTTTTCTAACACGCTTCCCCACAGGCTCACCTATCTGTACTAAGAAACTCTACGATATTTAATTATTTATTAATAAAATGGGGATAGTGAGGATCGAACTTGTGACCACTTGATCACAAAGGCGCTTATATCATGTAAAACAATAATTTCAACCCAAAAATTTAAGTTATTACATGAAGGCTACATTAATGGTTTCGTATTATATTTTTCTAACATATTGTAATGTTATTTATTTAATTTGGAAAACATGTTTCAGGCTTTGGACACCTTTAACACAGCAGTTGTGTCACCAGTTTACTATGTGATGTTTACATCACTTACAATCTTTGCCAGCATAATCATGTTTAAGGTGACTAACTACCTTTTGTCATTTGCTCTGTCTCTGTATGTGTATATATGTATGTATGTGTTTCTTACTTTTGTTTAATATATGCTTGGCGACAATACAAAATTATTTTGACATTATAGTTTACAACAACACCACCAAAAGCGTTTTCCCACGAGGTGGGGTCGGGTACATGGATCAAAGATGCTATTTTGTTCCTTTAGTCACTTAGATTTTTTCTTGGCCTTCCTCTACTTCTACTTATTGGGCTCTCCACAATATGATCGACTCTTCTTACTAGACCTATGATAGTGTATAGAAATAAAAGGCCCCCTTTCTTGCAGCTTATGGCAAAGTAAATGAGAAATATGGAAAGAGTGAGAAACATAGTCATCTATAGTATTGGATCAATCATAATTATAATTTCATTTGTATTATGTTATCAGGTTGTAGAGTTACTTTTTGTTTTCAAGTTTTTAGAGGACTTGAACACCTAAAATCTGTCAAATCAAGGCACACTGAATCTTAAGAATATGTCATGTGATTTTGGCCAATCATTGTTGAGCCAGTGATGCGCTCCTAGTCTTACGTGTTGGTTGCCGATGGTACAATTGATCCCTGCTTGATACTTGTTCGAAGAACATATCCCCTAAAATGTCTTCTTTGTGTGATTCCATGTCTTGCATTATTAGTCTTAAAATAATACCTTCATTGGCAATTTGCAACTGGATTGTAAGTCATTATCTACTTTCATTATTTGCTGCAGGACTGGGACTCACAAAATGCATCACAAATTGCTACTGAGTTATGTGGCTTTGTCACAATTTTATCTGGGACCTTTCTCCTTCACAAAACTAAAGATATGGGAAATAGACCCACAGAACCCCTTGGTTTTTCAGCTTCAAACCATTCTAGTCATAACTCAGAAACATGATAGACATGTATGTTTGAATCTAGGCAGGATAAGGATAGTAATGGTCTTTCACCAATGTTCCCAAGCTAAACTGCTTTGAAAATATGATGAAGGTTACACAGTGGTATTTCAAACTAGCTTGCAATGTCGAAAATGGTAAATCGAAAAGTATATGATGTTAATGTGAAATATTACAGGAAGCGTTTCTTAGTTTTTCTTTGTTTATTTTATTCCTCCTAGTTTTTATGAACAGACGGTTTTTATGTGCAGTTGTGAATAGCTAGCTAAAAGCCTATATTGTGATCTTCATTAGCATGAGATTATGATTCTTGGAACCTATTATAGTTCCTGTTATGGTCTTCACATACTTTAATGTCATCCTGATTCATGAGTATAAGTGAACTTTGAAATATTCATTTGACTGTGTGTACCTGTATTGTAAGATCAGTAAACAAGAATAAAGTCATTTTTCTTTTCTTTTCAAAAGCTGTTATTTTCTGTCTGGTCCAGGTGAATCCAAATTTTGATTATTTAGGCCAAAATCTAGGTAAAATCAAGGAAAGAGTGTATAACTATCTGTAGTTCAGAATCGATTTTAAATCAATTTAGAAAAAAACAAAACCGATTTAGGAAGAGGCAAAATGGGTTTGATTTTTAAACTGATCCATTAAATTCCATTCGCCATAAAATCTAAATATAGTAAATAGGGATTACTGTCACTCCACTTTAATCCATGTACAGTTGAAAATTTTTATATCAGTAAAGTTTTGATGCACATGTTTATCCAAATTATTGCTTGAACTGCATATCTAGTTTTTAACTATGTTTAAACGTACATTTTGAAGCAAATTCGGTATTTGCATTCAGATGAAGCAACTAAGCCTGTTGATTATCTTTTCGAAAATAGTTTTTTGATTTTCATAAAAAAAAAACTAATTTGATAAGACCTATTTTGTTAAAATAATTATAAAAATTATTGTTCTTTAGTTTTTAAAATCAAATTTAAAAAATATGTCCGAGTTGTTTTTGTTCTGTGTTTTTTATTTTTAACTAAAAAAAACATAAAAAACATTCATTTTATTAACTATTCTACAAAATAATTAAAAAAAAACAGAACATAATCAAATAAGCCATAGCAATGGGAATATAAAATCTAATATGTTATTCGTATAAAAGGCAAATCAATCGTGAGCAACAGGACTCGAACCTGCACGGGCAGTCCACATGATTTCAAGCTTTGATGCACGACCAGGGAACTCCGACACATTTCGATCAACATTTCAAGACATCTGGTAAACATTTTGATATGCTTCCAATATATAGTCAATATTTCTACACACACGCTTTTAACATACGGTCAACGTTTTTCTACTCATTTTTTTTTATATTCAAATTTTATTTTGTTTTTATCTTTTTAATTAAACATGAAAAATTAATTTATAAATTAAATATTTTTATTATAAAATTTAGGTTATTCTACTTATCATTTTTTCTGTTTACTTTTACTTACCATTCTCTAACATCGTTAGATCAGAATCTCAAGAGTAGAAAGAAATATAAAGATTAGTTAAGATTCTGATTTAATGACATTTTAGAGTGACAAGTAAAGGTAGGCAGAAAAAGAGGTAAGTAGAAGAATAACATATTCCTATAAAATTTGACCTGAAAAATTAATAAAACATGATTTTTTTATATTTATGTTATATAATTTGAATATTTGATTGATTACATGACTTATTATAAATTGCTGTATGTATTAAATGTAAATTATATTATATGGGGCATGTTATATTTACAAACTTTTTTGTTTACAAACTCTTACAAACTACACTATCTTCTCCCGGGAGAACACACCGGGAGAACATAATGTAATTTGTAAAAATTTATCAAAAAAATTTGTAAACGGATCCTTCCTCATATTATATATATTAAAAAAATTATTTAATATTGAAACATGTATTAATATATCAAAATTTAATATTTTTAAAAATTAATATATCGTATCGTATGTCATGTAAGTGAAAGGAAATTGATCCTCTCATGTGTAATTTAACATGATCATGTCATGTGGGAAGATCTTAACCATTAATAATTAAATTAACGGTGATGATTGTGTAATATCTTTATATTTTTTTTCTCTTTCATTATCACCATTAACTCACCCATATATGATTATGATTACCCCCTATAAAACACGAACTCGTAATTTTTTTGGAATTGTGCGTGTCGGACACGTGTCCGACACGGAAACGCTCCGACACGCGATCAATATTTTGGGACACGTGGTCAACGCTCAGACACGTTTTTTTTTCAGTCTTAATTTTATTTTATTAATTAAAAAAAATCATTTATAAATCAATTTTTTTATGTTATGAAATTTGACATGAAAAAGTAACAATGTACGAAAAATTATTTTTGTTTATATTTATGTTATGAAATTTGAATATTTGATTGGTTATACGACTTAATATGGATTGTTATATCTATTAAATATAAATTATATTATATATTAAAAATATTATTTAATATCAAAACGTGTCCCAACATGCTATTTTTTAGAATTAACATGTCAGCTGTCATGTTGTGTCCCGTGTTCCGTATCAGTATCCGTGCATCATAAATTACCCCACATAACAACCCCCACATAACATAATTAGCACATCCGTTCCCTTTGAAAAATAGATTTCAAGTCATTCGAGATAACCGCTCCGGTATGCCCACTGGAATGGCTCCCATTTTTTTCAATAAAAATAAAAAATTCCGAAAATTGAAATATAATTATTCTGAAAAATAAAATAGGCTGGGAAATCTTCGCTCCCTGCTTTGGAATAGCTTTGTCCCTTCATTCCCCAGTTAGCCATATTTTCTCGAGAAAATTTAACTTTCCGGGAAAATCAGTGTGCTATCGTCGTTGGCAACTCCTCTCTCGCTCTGTCTTTTCTTATTATTATTATTCAAATTCCGAAACGATAAGGTAAGCAAGCGCCATCCTTTTTCTTCTCTCGATTTTGAGATTCTCGGAGAGAATCTATCAATCAAACAATCGCCAGGTTAAAATTCTGGATTGTGAAAAAATAAGAAAAAATAAAAATTCACACGATTGCAACGATCTTCGTGTTCTCGATGCAATTAGAATCGTTATCGGAGAAGGTTTTGGTGGTTGAGGAGGAGGAGGAGGAAGAAGAAACCAAGAACGTTACGTTTGTGATTGGTTGCTGATGATTCCTCCGAGAAGGAAGAAATGGACGGAGTTGGAGGAGAAAACCCTAATGGACAAGTACGGGGAGATGGTGGCCGATGGTTCGCTAGCGAAGATGAGAACTCGCGAGAAGAAGTTCAAACCGATTGCTTGTTACGTGAATTCGATGCACCACCTTCGCGATCCCGTGGCGTTCCCTTGGCAGTGGTCTTGGAAGGACGTTTCCACCAAGGTTCAGAACATGAGGCATCAGTATCTGCTCGTTAAGCAGAAGATCAAGAAGCCCGAGTATTCTGGAGGTGATTGTGATGGTAATGGTGATGGTGACGGTGATGGGAGTGAGTTTGATTGGGTTGAAGGACTTACTCATTGGTCTAATTTTCTTAGGTACAAGGATGTGTTTGGGGATGTTGCACTTGGTGTTGGTAGTCATGGTGGTAATGAGTTAATGGTGATTGCGGATGGTAATCATGGAGATGAGTTTCTTGCTAATGGTAATGGTGGCAGTGTTGGTGGTGGTGGTGGTAGTAGGGGAATGGATATGGTTGAGTTTGGCCAGATGGGTCATTCTGGGGATGGGGATGGGGATTTTGCAGCTGCTATGGATGGGGTTGACAATGAGGTTATGGGTTTGGGTTTTGAGTATGATGCTGAAGAAGGGGAAGTGAATTATAATGGGAGTGGTAGGATGAGGGAAGATGCGGAGAATGGTTTTGTGTATGAGGAAGGGGAAATGGCAGGGTTGAACTTGAAGAAGAAGAAGAGGAAGGTGGTGAAAGGGATTGAGAAGAAAGCGTGGAGGATTCTTGCTAACCAGCTAGGACAGTTGAGAGAAATGGAGACTCGGTTCGAGCAGCGCGAGATGGATAGAGAGCGGGAGAGACAGAGGAGGGAAAACTTAAGAGTGGAGCTCGATAAGCAATGGGAAAAGAAACTGGAGGAAAGGGAAAAGGAGAGGGAAGAGAGGGAGAAGGATAGGGACAAGCTGAGGAGGCAGAGAATATCTGAGTGGGAAGCTATAGAGAAGGAAAATGAAGAGATGGAAAGGAAAAGAAGAGAAGAAGAGTTAAGTCATGAAAGGGAATGGGAAGAGAGAATGAATTGCAGGAGGCTAGAATGGAAGAAGAGGGTTGACGAGATGCTAAATCAGCACCGAGCAGAAATGGGCCAGATGCAGACTCGTATTTCTCATGAGCAACAAAATCTTACCAGCCAATTGCTTGGTATATTCTCACAGTGGACTGCTCAACCTGCTGGCCTATCTGATCATACTAGTGCTAGCAACCATTATATTTCACAAATGATGCAAAATTTGCATCATGTAAATGGTATTGTTCATGGAGATACTAGGGTTGAGGGGGATAATCATGAAGATCAATTCATTGTTGATGGGTGATGTATCTCTGCCATTTTGTGCGTTTATACTGGGGTGTCCAGGAACTTTCTGTTACAAGAAGTGGCGTAAAGTGCACATAACTGTTGAATGCATTCTTAACTGTACTCTCTTCAATTAGGTATGATTGTATACTGTGTCTAGTTTTTAATAATTTTATGCAACTAATCTATATAAATAATGCATTTTGTTCCTTGTTTTCATCTGAACTGAAATATGAAACTGTGAGTGTAAAGGTCCCATTTTTTGTCCAATACATTTTTTTAATGCTTCTATTCAAACTATCTATTAAGTGAATCCTCTAATATGTACGTACATTCAAAAAGGAATTTTTTGTTTGTTCTTTAATGTGCAATCCATCTCATTGTTATGCTAATGCAACAGCAGAAGGCATTCTAGGCTCAGGAGTGCTATATTCATCCCTTGTTAGTGTTTCGTTCTATAATTTGACTATGTTCAGATCCAATCTTCTTTACAAGGTATTCAGTATAAGTTAATTCTGGTCTTGTTTTCAGCCTTGTGGACATGTCAGATGTGTTACTGTTTGCTACTATGACAATTTGAAGGGGGAAAATGGAGGAAAGAAATTGAGAGATGTATCTAGGATCATGTTTACTCCTCCATTTTTGCCCTTACTTTTTGACTCTTACCAAAATCGCCTTACTCTTGCATGTAATCCCCGAATCCCTTAAGTTACTGGATCTTCTTCATATTAGGATTTTGTTTTGTTTATTTTGTATATTTATTTTGTATGATTACGGTGAAGAACTAGGAATGTTGTCGATTCATAACTTCACTAGAACTTTTTTTCTTTTTTATATTTATATTGGTATATACAGACTCATCTCATGCCCTAATAGCCAAGACTGTTTTATACTCGCCTCTCATTGTACCAACTCCCCAATTCCCGACCAGATTGTAGTTCAGGGGCGCTCCATCTATAGGCCATTGCATTCTTTTTGGATAACAATTGTGCATACTGAAAGTTCCTCCTGAAGATTTAGGAAACTTCCTTGGTTTTATAATTTTTGTTGGGAGGAGGGTGGGGTTGGGATAGGGACAAGGGAATGTCCGGATTTGGGTGCCATTTGAACTACAGCTACAACTTATTAGCAAAAACTTATTTGTTTGATATGGTGTACGATATGTATTGGCCCCGGCTGAGCATATTTGTGATGGAAATAAGCTGCTCAAATTATGTTTCTAGAAACTCTGCTCATCTGTGTTTCACGTTGTCTGAATTCCAAATGTTCAAGGATGATTCTAGATTGCTACAAACGGTCTAATTATCTTTTGCAATGGTTAAAATAGTATTGACATGCTCTAAAAATGATTGGGACTGTGTGCATGATTGGAATAACTCCCTATCTAGAATTTTGGAGATTTGTATTAACAATAAAGAGAGAAAATTACTGAAAATAAGAGCAATGGTCCCAGTAAAGGATGAAGTTCTCCAAGCCCATTAGCCAAGGCTGAACAAGTAAGAAAACCCCAGAATAACTGCCCCATCGATATTGCTTCCCTAAATACAAAGAACCTCCACTACTAGTGATTTTCAGTGAATATGATTGCTTGCAAATGAAAGATAGATAATGAGAGGGAGGGAAAAAAACAATTAGGGATAAAATTAGCAAAATAAAATATATTATTTGAAAACTTAAGCTATCATAACTTTTTCTGTCAATTACAAAAGTTTGAATATTATTTACACATACAAAAGCTACATCTTTTTTATATGAAAAAGAATTAAAAAATTGTACTAAAAAAGCTAGTTACATCATTAAAAATCAATTAAAAGTTTATTAAAATAATAATATTTTGTAGTATAATTATCAAGATTTTAAAATTGTTTTTATAATTTACCAAAAAATAAATAAATTGTTTTATAAGGTAAATTATATTAAACTTCAAAAAAAAAAAAAGTTAGTGCAAAAATAGAAAACGGAAAGAGAAAGAAATTTGAAGTTTTAGAATTGGTAAATCTAGTACAAGTTAGGAATTGAGTTGTTGCGCGACATATAAAATAACTGTTAATGGGACACATAAATAACTAACTCAATAAATAAACATAAGTTGCTTTTTCCAAAATTTTAATGATTAACAAGATTTTTCTCCTTTAGATGGAGGATTGATCATATTTGGGAAACTTTCTTGCATGTTTGATGACCTCCTAACGTTCATTGCATAAGTTCTAAATCTTAAGCTAGACAATCTCACACCAACGTATTTAGTTCGATTTGAATTCTTTTTTATCCAACCAAACTAAACTGATAAAATATTTTGAATTTTGAAATTGAATGGATATTTTTTCTCAACCGGTTTTTTTAATGAACAGGTTCAAATTTTGTTCATGGTTCAAAATCAAATTGAGTCCAATTCGAAACTTTTATCCTCTGAAACAGTTATGAGAAAAACTAGAAATATGGCATTTCAATAGAGAAAACTTGCTACAGTAAACTGGTTATGAAGAATCATTTCAAGATTTGTCATGACTATTCAAAACACATAATACCAAAGAAGAAGAAAATTCCGATAACAACAATCATTTTGCAATCTTGAATTCAACAGAAATTTTTTTATAATACCAAATTAGTAAGAATGATAACAACATTTAATTCAGAAAAAGTCAAGTTAATTGGAGTTTAATAACAGAAAAATTAGTCGGAATATAAACAGGCAGGCCAAAAAGACTTTCAATTTCACCCAACAACAGTTGATTTTAGTCCCTCAAAGTCAGCCATTCTGTTTTCCAGGCACAATGTCTCCGAAAAATACTTGCAATGTTCAATCAAAATTACTTCAAGCATAGAAATCTAGCCTCTTTACTTCCAAGCATTTTCAGCATAGATAGTCATTTTTATTTTTTACAATTACAAGGAAGATGAAGAATAGACGGTCAGCCAACTAAAACGTGGCTAAATTTTAAAAATTAGTCAGCGGGGGCAACTGGCTCTGTAAAGAACCTTGGGATATACCACTCCAAAAGCTAGCTCAAAGGGTGAAAGTGTCCAAGACCTTATAAACTCCACATTTGAGCTATAAATGTGCAACTAATGTGGAGTTTATAAGGTCTTGGGCACTCCCACCCTTTGAGCAAGCTTTTGGGGTGATGTATCCCAAGGTTCTTTACATGGTATCAGAGCCTCGCCGCCGCCCTCCACTTTCTCTTGTGGCGTTTCTTAGCACAGGTAGGCTGAGCCTGTTGCATTGTCCACTATTCAAGCCCAATGGGCTCTCGTGTGAGGGGGCGTGTTGAGATATATAGTCCTGCATTGGTTGTATGTGCAACTAATGTGGAGTTTTTAAGGCCTTGGGTACTCCCACCCTTTGAGCTAGCTTTTAGAGTGGTGTATCCCAAGGTTCTTTAGAGGCTCCACCACTACTTTTACATGTATATAAAAATGTGTGAGATTATGTGAAAGGAAGAGAAAGATATGAGTTTCATATATTTTTGTATGTGTGTAAAAAATAATTTTATCTGATAACATAAGAGACAATAAACCCTACAAACATTTATCTTAAAAATTTATACAATCTCTGATAATTATAATGAGTAAAGTATTTTTCCGGTCAATATAAATAAATTATCTTCGGTAAGTATAAAATAATGTCATTTTGTGGTGAAAATCAATGTATTTTTGTAATTCTAATTTATTGCAAGATTATATTAATCTTTAACATTATAATTTTTTAATCTTAGATCTTTAAAATGACGTTATTTTGGATTTACTAATAATAACTTTATTTCTAATAAATACTTTTGCCAATTATAATCTCCAAAATCAAGAAGATATTGGTGCAATCAGCTAATTCTTTAAAAAGAAAAAGAAAAATCTTTTTCTTATATTGACGTAGATAAATTATTTTATGTTAATAAAATAAAATAATAAGATGGACCTATAAATGATTGGAAGGAAAAAAAGAAAGAAAGACTGAAACGCATTTGTTACGAGTGTGTAAAAAAATGGATTATCTTTACGTTGGGATAAATATAACCCAATAAAAAAATGAGTTTGGTGTTTGTCATTTTAAATGACATAATTGATGTCATTTTAGGAGAGAGATAGACACAGAAAAACGAAAATCATGAAAGAGAGAAAGTGAATAGTTTTTTTTAATTTAAAATTTAAATTTTCTGTGTGTGTTTGTATCTCTCTCTTAAAAATGATCATTTTTAAGATAAGAAACAATCTTCCAAAAAAAAAGCGACCTTTTTTCTTTTTGAAATAAATTTGACTATGGTTTGGTAGAGGTTGCGAAATTTTATTTTCAACGATGGTTGCAATTGAAAGCAACACACACAAGCTTCCAAGTTCCAACACTACTTGGGAAGATTCTCTCTCATTCCTAGAAGGATAGGATCACTCTTGTTGACCATCTGTATCTTTCATTTCATATTGCGTTCTCTCTTTGAAAGATGTTGAGGAATTCCAATTCCAAATCCAAAGGAGGATTTGCATTTGGATTAGGAAGGATCCTACTCGTGTGTGTTTGTGTTTGCGTAGTACCAATTGAGTTTGGCGTTGTAAGAGTGACAGAGGCTGAGTTCTTCAAACCGTTCAACGTGACCTATGATCACAGGTCTCTCATCCTCGATGACAAGCGTCGCATCCTCATCTCCGCCGGAATTCATTATCCACGCGCCACCGCCGAGGTCGGTCTGTGTGTTTGCTTGAATTTAATGATTATGAACAAAATTGATTCAAACACAGTAGCATAACATGCAAGTTCAATTAAAGTTCCATTAGATTAATACTGTTTGATTGTTTAGAGCTAGAGCTGCAGTGGTTGATAATCAGAAATCTTTTGTCGTTTTTGGTCTTCAATTGATATACCTTAAATTTATCATCAGAAATGTAGCATAAGATGAGTGAATAATACTTTTGATTTTGCTACACGTAGTGTGCATCTATCTTTTTTCATTGCCAAAATGGATATGTATGAAGAAATGTTAATTTTCCCACCAAACATGGCTACTGAAAATTGTAAATCTAAAAAAAAAGTACCCGTGGTTGACAAGAAGTTGTTGCTAACCTACGGAAAGAGAAAAGTTGTAGCTATGTTGATTATTCTAATCCAAGACACCTTCAACCAACCATCTATCTTGCAGAATGGGGGCAGTAGCGAATACTCAATCAAATAGGATATGAAAGAGTAATATTAAGTTTTTTGAAAATATAATTTTGTCTTATGCATTTTATGTAATTTTAGATGTGGCCTGATCTGATTGCAAAGAGCAAGGAAGGTGGGGCAGATGTAATTGAAACTTATGTTTTCTGGAATGGGCATGAGCCAGTGAGAGGACAGGTGCAAATTACATTTCTCCAGCTATCCTGGCTGGTAGCGTTGTGTTGTTTCTTCAACTCTATACTTGATAGTTATTTATTAATTTTTTTTTCTTTTAATATGCTTGGGCTTGTGCAGTATAATTTTGAAGGGAGATATGATCTTGTGAAGTTTGTGAAGCTAGTTGGATCCAATGGACTCTATTTCTTTCTACGTATAGGCCCTTATGCGTGTGCCGAGTGGAACTTTGGGTCTCACCCTTTTCTCATTATTATCTTTCAATTTTTTGTTGCTCAAGTTTGATATTTGTGTTTAGAGAAACAACTTGAAGAGGAGTACTTGCACTCTTCCATGGCCATCTGAATGAACTCATTACATGATAGTTAATTAATCACACTTCTAAACTGGAAAATGTTAGTTGTGTAATTACTGTGATTTTGTTTATACTATTTTCCAGGATTTTTACACTCATATCTACTTTTCGCATAGACAAGAATGCCATTTCATGTATTAAAAACAAAAAAAAATGCGGTTTCATCGTTTTTTTTTTTTTAATTTATAGTTTTGTACATGTCAAATTGAAAGTTAGACAACTTTTTGGTTCTGGAATGTAAATTAGTGACAGAAAGAAATGTTGAAACTATGCAACAGGGAAAATTCCAACTTCATGGAAAACAGAATAAGATGGATACACATCAAATTTGAACAACTATGTCATTGCATCATCAACAATGAATTGTGCAAGTTGTACCTTAAGTAGTGCTGAGAATTCACCCTTTTTTGTTAAGTTTTAGAGCTGTGCTTTCAACTCCAATTTTCTAATGGTCTGTTATAAATTTATTGGAAATGTGAAAATCAATTTTAAATTTATTGCTCATATTGAATGTTAGAGATATATATAATCATTAATATAGCCTCACCCATCAGCTTAAGCTTTTGGGTGAGATGGTTGCTTTACATGGTATAAGAGCCTCGATGTCATAGGTTCGATCCTCACCGCCTCCCATTTAATCAATAATTAATTATGTCTTGTGGAGTTTCTTAACACAGGTAGGTGGACCTGTGCATTGTCTACCCTTCAAACTCAATGGGCTCTCGTGTGAGGGGACGTGTTAGAGATATATAAAATCATTAATGTAGCCTCACCCTTCAGCTTAAGCTTTTGGGGAGATGGTTGCTTTACATTGAAAGAAGGATCAACTGATTCTATTCTAAAAGAAGGCACTTTTTTTAACCTAAAGTTAGAGTAATTTGTTTTGTACAAAAGAAACAAGGATAAATTTTATAAAAGCTGTTATTATTACTGGTAATTTTATGAAAGCATAAATAATAAGCTTTGGTTTGTGATTGATACTTGTTGATCTATCTTATTTCTCTATTTGGATATTGCCTTGTTTTGCAGCACCACTGTCTTGGTGCTATCCTTCTATTATCTGTTGTTGAAGCTGGTATATAGTTGTAAAAACATGCATAGGGATTTGGCATCCCAGCTGCACTCCTAGTTTCTTTTGTTATGTTTGTATTTTAGTTGTTTAGTTTTTCAGCTCTTAAGGGTTTCTTGTCCTCACCCCTGGTTTACTATTTCTCTTCAATATTGCTTTATATATATATATATATATATAGGGACAAGATCATTTGACACTAGTGCTAAACTAAAAAGTTTGACACGAAATCTTAACCGTTGATTTTTGCCAATCTGACGGTTATAATTTATTGGGGATTAATAATTAATTAATAAGTGTGACCCAATAAATTATAATTGTTAGATTCACGGAAATCAACGACTAAGATCCGGTGTCAAACTTTTTATATTGATAAAACCTAGAGAAATATTTGATAATTTTTACCTTGATTTGTGAGCTGTGTTTGCAGGGGTTTCCCAGTGTGGCTGCGTGATATCCCTGGTATCGAATTTCGAACAAACAATGCACCTTTCAAGGTATAATGCTTTGTTAGTTGGCATTGCTTTCTTTTGGTTTTATTTTTTGTAGCAGACTATAACAGTTGTTTCTGTTTCTCCTTTTTTGTTTGAGATTTTTCTATTTATTCAGTTTATTTAGTGTTCTCAGTTATGGACTACAATTGTCTTGATGAGTGTTTGTTCATGTTTGCACTCACCACTTGATGCTGGAAAGCGTGTCAAATTGCTTTAATTTATGTTTTTTTTTTTATGCTTTTTTGTATCATGTAATGCACCTTATTGTTCATGCTGATAGGGGTGGGGTTTCTGTGAACTCTCCCAAAATCCTAAATAAATGATGGATAGTGGGTTATTCAGATGTCGAGAATAACTTCAATGAGTGCATGATCTCTCTTCTTCTACTTCCTTCTGCTTTTCTTTATTTGTTTTAAGCGGTGTACATAGAAGATTAGAAAACTTAGAAGTATTGTTGGTAGCTGTGAATCGAAAGCTCCATGACAGGACATGGTGTACATATTGCGGATCCACTTAGAGATATGACTGATTGATCTAAGAGGATGTAAATGTCAAATTTGAGGCTTTAACAAACTAAATTATTTGTTCGTGACTAATGTTGGAGTTTTACTTGGGGTAAAACTCAAAGTTAGTAGTGCCTTCTAAAATTAACTTTCCTTTTTTCTTCAGTTCCTTGAGATTGTTTATGCACTAATAACTCCTGTAATGAGTTACATCTCCCGCAATCTCTTCATCACCTTGTATGATAAATCCAAGATACATAAATTGTGTGATTTATGATATGCTTTACTACCCAATTTTTACATGGCCAATGCTAGCTCGCATTTTGCTGAACTTGCATTCCATATACTCTGTTGTACTTCTGCTAAATTTGAAAGAAAGTGATCCTCAAGCTTCTCTCCAAAACTCTAGTTTACTGTTTTTTGTACCCCTATTGACTCTTCTGTTAGGACTATGTCATCCTCAAAAAGCATGTATTCGGTCATAAGGACAATAAAACAACGAAAGAAGTGCAGTACTATGTAATAAACACAACATAATAAAGGTTTGTTTTCCTGTGGGGTTTTTTACTTTTTGGTTTCTTTTGGAAAATACCCTTTCCTCACTTGCATTTTCCAGTACCTATCTAATAACAGTTCTTTTTTATATAATAATAAAAGTACTATAAAGGTTTCTTTTTCTAGCTATTCTCAAAATGATGTACGTAAATTCCCAAAGATGTCTGTTATTTCTTTCAAATTGTGCCGGTAAAGATTTCTTTGTTTCCGAGCAAGTTAGAAGTGAGATTATGTTTTTGTACATATTCATCATTCTTAATTTCAATTGTTGTTATATGAAGGACTGAAATTTCCTAGATAAAGCCATAACTAAAAATTAAGATGAATTTATAACACCACATGATACACTGCAATATATGTAAACTATATTTTATATTTTCATTGGATAATGTTTTCTATTTTCTTAACACCCCAATTTTATATGAACTTCCGTCATTGGACTTGGAAAGGATTGTCATTAACATGGTTTTGATCATTTTTTTTTTCTTTTTAAACTTAGGAGGAGATGAAACGGTTTGTCTCAAAGGTGGTGAACCTGATGAAAGAGGAAATGCTGTTTTCTTGGCAAGGTGGTCCTATAATTTTGTTGCAGGTTGGAAGAGAGTATGGAGTTTGGGCTTTATATGAATAAGTTGATTTCATTTTTCATAACTTGAACGATATTCGTAGTCCTGCTGCGGTTTTCAGAATTGGCAGTAAAAATTACAATTGTTTTAGATTCTTGTTTTGCCTTACTGTACTTGTCTTCTTTACTTAGGTAAGTCTTATTTTTGGTGGCAGTCAACTGCTTTTTCCAGGTTGTGGATATGTCATGTTCTCTAGAATTTTCGCTTCTCTTTTCTTACTTTAATTTCTGTTGAAATCACGTAAATTGGTGACATGTTATATAATACATGTGACATGAGGCATGGGTGGTAAAGGCGGGTACTGGTTCCCTCATATTTGATTTATTAATAGAAATTGTATGTGAGGTTTTAGTTGTTGGTTCTAGTTTTATGCTTCAATTCTGTATTCTGATTATAAAATCCTGTTTTTAATTAGTTCCCCAACTTATTAGCAGACCTAATTAATTTGCTCTAGATAATTGGTGATTATGCTATATTCTGTTATCTTAGAATTAGCACAGGCAAGTGTTACATTTGATGCTTCCCTTTATAGAATGCAATGTTTAACATGGAACATTACTGGATTTTATCAGATTGAGAATGAATATGGGAACATTGAGAGCTCCTATGGCAAGGGAGGTAAAGAGTATGTCAAATGGGCAGCTAGAATGGCTCTAAGTCTTGGTGCTGGTGTTCCATGGGTTATGTGCAAGCAACCGGATGCTCCATATGAGATTGTAAATTATATCCCTTTCCATTATAGAAAAGAAATGTTATTCACAATTACCTTTACTTATTAAAATGACAATAAATGTTAGGGTCTGTTGATTATGATAAAATAACAAAAAAGGAAACTTGGTTATAAATCTTCCTGCGTAGGAATAACTACTAATTCAAGTAGTTAATTAAATAAATATTCTTATTTGTATTCATAGATTGTATTGTTGTCCACAGATTGATACATGCAATGCATACTACTGTGATGGATTTAAACCAAACTCACGTGACAAACCAACTATGTGGACAGAGAACTGGGATGGATGGTATGAACAAACACATCCTTCAATTTAAAATGAGGGAGGGTTGTCAGTAGTGGCTGTAGCGGCCTTTATTGTTGCATAGGGGAGTGCATTGGTGTAGTAACCACCAAAAACTGCCATAGCAGCCCCTATTCTGTCTCTCCCTTGGAACTTTACATTCAACCATGTGTATTGGTTCTTTGCTGGATTGAAGCCCTATGATATTGCCCACAGCAACCGAGGCACTCTGTCCTCTGTCTCACCTGTGGAAGCTACTCATGGCGTGGTTCTCTCTTCCCTCTCTTGTCACCAGCAACATCATGTTTAATTGTCTATGTGGTCCTGGACTCTATCTCTGTGTGCATAATCATTATACGTCCTTGTCATTCTGTTGTACAGGTCTTCTCTGTTGTGTATATTGATTTTGGACAGTCTCCTTTTCTTTCTATTTTCTAAACAGAATTCTAAACTCCCTTGCTAGCTTTCTTGCAATAGTAGCTGCTTCGTTATCTGACACTATAGCATTTTAAGGGTGTGGCTGCTCTGTGCCACGTTCTTCCGTTACCTACTATGCTTTTTATATATCTGAAGTAAACTTGTCAGTCGTTTATGAGATTATTATGTGGTTATGAAAGTATATACTAGTAGGTGCACCCAAAACAAGGGAATAAAGGGTACATGTGAGAGATTATGAAGTTGATGACAGTATTAATACAAGTTTAGGAGTCAACATTATATAAACTTTTTGTAAACCATTCAGTTCAGCCAATTTATTTGTGTTCCCTGCTTCTCTGTGTGTGTGTGTGCAAGTGCATGCAGGTATTTGTGTTTATAAGAAAAAGAAGTAATGTGTTGACAGCTTAATCGGTATTAGGCTGTGTGGTGAGAAATATTTTGATTGCTTCCAATTGACTTTTTGAAGGTATACAGAGTGGGGTGGAAGATTGCCTCATAGACGTGTTGAAGACCTCGCATTTGCAGTTGCACGTTTTTTCCAACGTGGAGGAAGCTTTCAAAATTATTATATGGTATGATAGTGGATAAAATGAAGGGTCGGCTTGGCTCAGCGGTAAGCTTGCTTGCCGTGGTGTGTCAGGTCGCGGGTTCGAATCAGCCTCTCTGCAAAAAGCAGGGGAAAGACTGCCTAGAGTATTCCCTTCCCCAGACACTCACGAAGTGGGTATTTGAACTGGGTCGGCCCTTTATGATAGTGGATAAAATCTTTTATTTTGAGTAAAAGTTCACTTTGGGCTTCTTTCCTATGCCAAGCTAATGGTTATCTCATGGAGGACTCTTGTCCAATATTTGTATTGGAGGGATTTAATATATTACCGCATGTGAAAGTTGATCTCCACTTCATCAAAGAAAAATTAGACGATAAAAGTATATGTATGGCATATATTCCTATCAAGGAACAAACTACAGACATTCTTAAAAAAAGCCTGCACACACTGACCTTTGAAGACTTAATAGGCTAGCTGGGAATGATCAACATATATATCCCAGGAAATGCTAGTATTTTTATTTTTAAGGATATGATTTTTTTCCTTAATTGGGATCAAAGTGGAATGAATTTGTATTCGTTAGTTTCCGTTTTTATCCTTAGGCAACTTGTATATATTGTAATCTCTATTCATTGAGAAATACAAGTCAAAGTACATTTTTTAGACATGGAATGTTGAATTTCTAGAGGGTTTTATCTAGGAAAAATTTCTCTAAATTTGAAAAGTGGGTTTTATACTTCAATTTATTTTGTATATGGCAATTTATTTTCAATGAAAAATAAACATTAACTCAGTGTGATGGTATCTGCTAATTGCAAATTTTTTATGATTTTAGTATTTATTTATGATGAATATAATACATGTCATATAGGGTTTATCTCTACCAATGTATATTTTTGTTTTTGTTAATATATGAGTATCTGTGACCTACATCTTGACAAGCCTTTTTATGTTTACAGTATTTTGGCGGAACAAATTTTGGCCGCACTGCAGGGGGACCCTTGCAAATTACAAGTTATGATTATGATGCTCCAATTGATGAGTATGGTATGTAGAAGAATAACAAGACTTCGTGTTGTTCAAATGGTAGCTAACGTTGGGATTCATATTGTTAGAGAAACATAAAACCATTAAACATAGCCTCACCCAACAGCTTAAGCTTTTGGGTTGAATTGATTCTTTACTTGGTATCAAAGCCCCGATGTTACGGGTTCGATCCTCATCGCCCCCCATTCTGATAATTAAATATTGTGGAGTTTCTTAGTACAGGTAGGCTGGACCTGATGCATTATCCACCCGTCAAGTCCAATAGGCTCTTGTGTGAGGGAGCGTATTAGAGAAATATAAAATCATTAAATGTGACCTCACCCAGCAGCTTAAGCTTTTGGGTTGAATTGGTTTTTTACACATATAGTTGTTATGATTTATGATGCTCCATGAACTTTGTTTTTCTAGGTCTGCTGAGTGAGCCAAAATGGGGTCACTTGAAAGATTTACATGCTGCTCTAAAGCTTTGTGAGCCTGCTCTGGTGGCCACTGATTCACCAAAATATATAAAATTGGGTCCAAAGCAAGAGGTTTGTGCCAAGACAGAAATAGTTGATTAGTGTTTTATAAAAATTCCAAGCATTATGGTTGATTACATTTAGTTTTTTATTGGTAATTACAATTAGGGACCAACTCTCCTGAAGCTAAAGCTCATTAATGGTTTTATATCTGTAACACACCTCTTCATGCAAGAGCCCTCTATGCTTGAAGTGTATACAATGTATAGGCCCATTGTACTTTGCGCTGAAATTCAACTTAAAAGAACATCAAAGATTGAACTCGTAATCATTTAGTTCCAGAGACTTTGTTACCATGTTGGGACCAACTCCCCTAAAAGTTTGAACTATTAGGTGAAGGCTCATGAATGCTTTATATCTCTAGCAGTCTCTTTGATTTTCTGATCTTGGTGTTTCTTTCTAGCAAATTGTTGTTTCTTGTTTTCTGATCTTATCAAAATAGCCATGGCTTCGGAAGCAAGCCTAGAAGGTCGTTGGTGGGTTCTCCATACCTGAAAAATTTATTCAAGCATCTGGGGCTCATACCTTTGGAGACACTCATTCTCTCCAAATAACCCCAACACAAACTGAACACAAACACCCCAATCCAATTTATCCACCCAGACCCAAAGCTTTTCCTATCCAAAACTTTATCCAAAAAACTCCAACCTACACAGTCATAAGCTTTCTTCAAATATAACTTAAAATCTCAACCTCCTCTGCAGTCTAGCATTATCCTCTACCTCATTAGCAATGAGAGAAGCATCAAGAATTTTTCTACCTGGAATAAAAGCACACTGATTCTCAGAAGTGGTGTCTGAAAGGATCTCACTCGGTATGGAAGGAAGATTTGTATATATCTTATAAACACCGGAAATTAGGTTAATGGGGCAAAAATTCTTAACTTTGTTCTATCCTTTTCAGAAACGAGTAGTATTTAGGTACTAAGAGATTTTGGGATTCCGGTGAGCCAGAAGGCAGAACCCAAAAACTGTGAGCAGAAGCAGGACTGTGATATGTGAATTGCTCAAGTGAATTTGCACCCAGCAAGCTGATGCTTATGTACATACAAGAGCAATAATTAGGAATATAACTATTTCCTATGATCCTAGAATTCTTAATGTTACATTAAATTCTACTATTTCCAAAGCTACCTTAACTACTGTTATCATTCCCAACATCTATATTCAATCTTTTTCTGCCAAAATAGGCATTCACAATGAACTTAGTACCTTCATTTGTATTTTAAGTAGTGATAATGCCACCCAATTTTATCTACTTTTTTTACTACATTTATTTCTTCACAAGTACATTTAGCCAACCCCACCTAGTGCGATAAGGCTTGGTTGTTGTCTAGAAAATTATATGGGTGACATTGTTTTTTTAATGAAATACTTTTGTTCATCAATTTCAGGCACATGTGTACCAAGCAAATGTTCACCCTGAAGGATTGAACTTGTCTCTGTCTGAACATCCTAGCATATGCTCAGCATTTCTTGCCAATATTGATGAAAAGAGAGCGGCTACAGTGACCTTTCGCGGCCAAACATACACTTTACCACCATGGTCTGTGAGTGTATTGCCAGATTGCAGTAATACAGCTTTCAATACTGCCAAGGTTAGTTTATGCATGGGGATATTTTTGAGGCATCAAAAGGTTTGCCATGGCATCAATTTGTGTCTCACCTATGTGTGTGTGTGTATATATATAGGCACCGAAGTATGTCTAATATATGAAAAAAATCTGATAATATCTGGATTGTATCTTAGAATATGATCTCTCAGGAATAGTTTCCTTATTTCTTTATATTTCAAGATTTATTTCCCTGTGTAATTAGGATTTGGAGGCTAATATTAGTATATTTGGGATTAGTGCTTCACAACTTGTATCACTTCATATCATATCATATTACATCAAATTAATACCAATTTCATATTATCCTGTCTTTATTTTCTCTTTTCTTCCTTCCCCACTCAAATCCCTATAATTTTAACATGGTTTTGGAGCGGTGCTATCCTCTGTGACATGTCCCATCTGTAAAGAAACCAATTCAACCTAAAAGCTTAAGTTGTTAGGTGAAGGCCACGTCAATGGTTTTGTAGTATATTTGTCTAATATACCCCTTGTGTTTGAAGTGTGAGTAATATACAGGCTCATCTACGTGTCCTAAGAACTCAATTATACTTTTATTATTTGTTAATGGAATAAGGGTAGTGAAGATCACACTCGTGACCACTTGGTCATGGAGGCTCTGATACCATCTAAAACAACCAATTCAACTCCAAAATCTAAGTTGTTAGGTGAAGACTGCGTCAATGGCTTTGTATTATATTTCTCTAACAGTATCAGTATTTCGTTGTCGAGTTTTCTAAAATCTAAAATTGTATTGTAACTGTTGAATAACGAGGAAACAAGAGACATATGATGTAATCTGTGAATTTCAATGACATCATAAGGTTATGATAAACCCCACAAAGGCTTTGGGTATATTATAGTATAATAGACCTTGACCTTCTGCCAAATGGACTCACAAGTGATGTGAACTCATAAGATTTGCTTTAGAGATGGATGAATAGTGGATTTGATGAAGATACACAATTTTCCATCAATCTTAGTCCATCTAGGATGCTCAACAACAGGCACAAATTTAGAGTTGGTGGTGAGGTGGTCTGTGTAGTCTTGCCTAGTAAGCCAAAGTTTAATGTTGGAAGTCAAGGTGTCATATTTGGTACCATCCAACTTTTTAGAAGAGTGGCACACAAGACAGTGGAGAGTAAGGTTGGTAGGACCAAATTTGTTGAGAGAAGAGTGGGCATGTTGCACAAGCAATGGAAAATGCAAGACAGAGACTAGAGCACTCCAAACAGACTTTGAAAGGGACAATGAGCTTAGATCAGATGACAAAACAAGAAGACAAAGCAAGACAGACACAACATGGTATGAAACATGGCTCCATCTCCATCTGCGATAGAGAGGGTGCTAGAGACCAAAGAGGAATCATGAGGGCGTGTCGGTCGATGGTTCACCGCGTTTGCTGGGGATGGGCTAGATGAGAAGAGCCGCTCCGGAATCAGGGTCATTGGCCATAATGGATAGTGACGGACTTTGGTGAACCGGTGGCCAGAAGGAAGACATGACCAGAGGGGTCATAACTAGGAGTGACGGCACTGTTTCTGGAAAATGAGTTGTCGTCAGTGGTTAGTGGTTTCACCGTTAGGCATGGACTAGGGTTATCTCTTGTCAGGCTTTAGATATCATCTTAAGTTAGGAGGAAATGAGACACTTAAGTGACATTAGTTTGTCTCGACTACACAACGTGGTTTGGATTATATAGCCAAAAAATAATAAATACATTATAAATACAGACATCTCTAGTATCCTAATTACCATAATTACATGATTCTTACTACCCTATCTTAATTATCAACAAGATACTATTTATTACTATTTACATAGTTACTACTCTACAACTACCAACAATATCTGTGCACCAACGTTAGGGGTGTAGAAAATAGAAGGATTTAATTTAGATAGTGTAGAATATAGAAACATTTATTTAGATAGCGGACTTTCCTTATTTTTGCAGGTATATGTTGTATATCTCCTATGATTAAGGAGATATGTTTAGTGTGTGCAGCCTATATAAACCTAAACCTCTGTAGCGATTGATAATCAATCAGAAATGAAAAGCTCTCTTCTCCTCTATTGTTCTTGTCTTCACACACTGAATGACAGAGAATCCCTTGTGATTCCCTTTATATTATCTACGGGTTGTCTAAAACTTTCTTCTTTAAATTTGCACAGGTTAGAGCACAAACTTCAGTCAAACTAGTAGAATTTGGTTTGCCACTTGTCTCTAGTGTTTTACCAGCCCAGCAATTGATGCACCACAATGGCATTTCCCACATCTCAAAGTCATGGATGACTACAAAAGAGCCGATCAATGTTTGGAGCAAGAGTAGTTTCACCATAGAGGGCATATGGGAGCACTTAAATGTAACGAAGGATCAATCTGACTATCTTTGGTATTCAACCAGGTGATTATGCATTCCTAAACACTCTGTAGTAGTATCATATGCTTTGCAAAAAGATATATATTGCTCGTTTTACTTTTAGTTACTGATGTATGATGTATATATATTACACATGCTTTACTTTTACCCAAAAAAATATCTGCGTCTTACCTGTTTTCTTTTAGATAAATAGGAATTTATTATATCTCTAGGTTTCAAGGACCAACTTTCCTGATAGCTTAAGTTTAGTTGAAAGGTCATAAATGAACTTTTTGGGCTTGAAGTGTGGACAATGCACAGGATTACACTACCATATGCTTAAATTAAACTTCTTTTATTTGAATGAGAGCAGCAAAGATTGAAATCCTAACTACTTAGTTGTAAAAGCTCTGATACTATGTCAAGGACCAGCTTTCCTGAAGTTTTAGGTAGGCTTATGAATGATTTTATATCTAACAAGAGGAAAAGAGTATAGGAAAGAATACAGAGAATAAGATATCCTCCATACCAAAACTAAAAAGAAAAAATATAAGATGTATAAAAAGACACCAAAACTAAAGAGCTCTGCGGTATTCCCTTTGTTTATCCGCAAAAGGGATTCCCTGGAATACCATGTTCTGAATTCAAAAAAATGCAGTGAAATTCCTCAAAAAAAAATTCAAATATTTATTCAGCGGTTTTCTAATAGCATTTCCATTAATTTGTGTATAAAATGCAGAATATATGTTTCAGATGATGACATCTTGTTTTGGAAGGAAAATGATGTTCATCCAAAACTTACTATAGATGGTGTCCGCGATATACTGCGCATATTTGTCAATGGTCAGCTTATAGGTAATTGATCTTATACTACTAAATGTATGCTGTATTTGAAGACGAACATGTTCCTTTTTTTTCCTTTTAATTCCTTAAATTAATGGAAGTTCTATTCTGAATAATGCACTTTATGTAGTTGGCCGGAGAGCTCGAGAGAAAATGTGGAAAAGAGAAAGAAAACAGAGAAAAGAGAGAGAGTGCGTATGAAGATTCTGAGATGTATTTCATTTACTGAACTGAACATAGAGTACACACTTGTATTTATTGCCACCGTATCTATGAGCAGCTTACAAGAGTTTCATTCTGAGATGTATTTCATTGACTGAACTGAATGTAGAGTACACACTTGTATTTATAGCCACTGTATCTATTATGAGTAGCTTACAAGAGAAGCTCTGTAAAAGATAACAAACAAAAACAGATTGACAATGAAGCACATAACTACATAACTTAAATTTTTAACTGAATAACAGCCTAACAACATTGACTGTGATAGAGTCACTGGCTGGGACTCAGTACCAACCCACAGAGAGGTGACTCTCGCTTACAGCCCCCGTCAAACTCAGCAAGGTTGTTGAACTTGGAAGAGATAAACAACCTTGAGTTTGAGTCTGTCCTTAAGATAGTAGAACTAGGGTTTAGAGAGAGTCTTGTTGAGCACATCCGCAAGTTGATCCTGAGCTGGGACTTCAGCCACTACATGACTTATTGATGACCTTCTCACGAACAAAGAAAATGTCTAGCTCCATATGTTTGGTGCGAGTATGTAACATCTGGTTGTGAGATAAGGCTAGTGTGCTTAGATTGTCGCAGTATATAATAGGTGTGCAAATGGGAACGTGAAGTTCATGCAACAATTTGGAGGACTTTTGCTGCATTAGATGCAAGGCTACGATATTCATCCTCAATAATAAAACGAGCAACCAAGGATTGCTTCTTGGAGGACCAGGAAAAGGGCCAAGGAAATCTGCATAAACTGAAGTGGACCTGCTGTCATCAGGGTCCGAAGCACAATCTGCATCATAATAGGCATGAAGAGAGAGAGAAGCTGAAGAGGAAATGCAGGCTGCAGCAATAACCCATGACTAAGGGTGCCCAGGAGATATTGAAGGATGCACTTGACAGCCTTCCATTGAACATCAAGGGGCTTTGCGATGAACTGTCACACTTTATTTGCATATTAGCTGATATATGGTCTTGTAAAAGTGGCATAAAGTGGTCTTGTAAAACTGGCACACTTTATTTGCACATTAGCTGATGTATAGTCTGTAGATAATTATTACTTTGAATATTGTATACAGGATAATTATATCAAGTAATCATAGTAATTAACATGGTATCAAAGCCGGATGAGAGGCAACCATATTCGTGCATATCTGCTGGACCCACTACCCACTAGTGACATTATATTCCAGCAACCATCCTTTTGGTTTCCAGATCCACTATCGTGTTGTCATTCCGGCAATCTCATATCTTCTGGTTGTCGTTCGTGACTTCGGCATTGGAAAAAAATTCCTGCAACTTTTCTAACCAGTGACCATTGGATTTGGAGCACCTCCTCGAGTCTGGCGCATCCCTAGTGGACCCAATGTCAATTGGCCAGCCACACGTCAACTCTTTATGCTGCGGGTCATCTTCTCCGACAACCTCTCCATCATGCGTGACCGCGCATGAAGTCCCTTTTCTGGTAGAAGCCACAGTCGTGGTGCTTGCCCTAGTTCAGTCTCTGGATTTGGTGTTTTCCTCCCTCGCCTGCTCTGTATTGGTTGTTTTCCAATCTTTTCCGCTGTTGTATAGGCCTTTCCGTGTTCATCCTGTCATCACTAGCCTTTCTTTTTGTTTCCTAGTGTGACTCATGGATGACTCTGTTTCCTCTGTGACTTCTAAAGAGGTTCTGAAGGCTGGATCCCATTTTTTACCAATTAGGTCTGTTCCTCTCTTTCCACTGACAAATTGGATGATAGTAACTAAGACCTTGGGCTTCTGACATTAAACTTTGGTTGATTTGGAAAGATTATCCAGACCATCTCATCACCAAGGCTGACTCTGTGCTTGTTGTTGAACGTCCTTGAAGGACTAAGATTGATACCCAATTATGCAACGTCATCCATCTTTAAGTGGAACAGATGTGGGACTATTATGGCACATTTCTTTTCCTCTAGATCACTCAGCTTGGGTTTGAGATAACTTCTGCTTATATTTTATGTGCATCTTTCACTTTCAACTAACCATCTCAATGAAGCTTAATCACTCTAATCTAAATTCTTGAATAAGATATGAATGGTAAGTTGTAACACCCCCAAATTTCTAACAATTTTAACAACAATAAAATATTCCTATAATAGAGAAATTTTCAAAAAAAAAATACTTTTAATTATTTATTAAGATCTTATATCTATTGTAGAAGTTAATCTAAAACTAATTTGGAGAAATGTTACCGCTGCACCTGTACAGGGACAAGTGCAAGGCTAACTTTTTTACATTAAAATAAAACCAACAATTAAAGTTCAACTGAAAGAAGTATGTCTTATGCATAAATAAATAGAAATAATAATTAAACTCTAGAGCTAGGTAGAAATCTCTGAGTCGTTATCCTCAGAGCCCACTGCTAGCCCCATCCTTTGCAACCTGACTTAGTAATCAAATCTGGTAATCAAATCAAAACAATTAGCAAAGCTGGTAATCCTAATCAAAACACAATTTATATAACCCAAATATAATAATCAAATCAAATATATAATCACATAATAATTTAATCAAATATCAATTTCAATATTCATTACATATATTCACATCGAATCAAATATTATTCATTATCTTTATTAAGTTCATTTAGTGGGAAGGGAACCATGGTAGACCCAAGAAACTCTGTTGTCAGTCTACCCCGTGACTCAGGAAACCCTGTTGCCAGCCACGTATAATCAAAATTGACCATATCAAAATATCAAATCCTAGTGTGCATACCTCTTTCCAAAGTTGCTACTAGTACCCCGGGAAACCCTGTTGCCAGATACCACTTTGGGAAGAACGGAAACATCATTGTCACATCATGTAATATCAAAGGCATAAAGCCCAAAGGTTGTGTTCATCACTTTAAGTGGTACCATCCCAAAGCTATCCTCCCACTAATTAATTAATTACTATCACACACAATCATCAAAATTCAATCATGTCACAATTATCATATTTGAAAACTTCTTTGAATATTATATTTTCTATATCAATTGCTCAAGGGCATCATAATTGTTCAATTATCTATAATTTTCCAACATCTATCAAAATTAAGGTCCAAATCATATCAATTATCTATCATCATAATTTTCCAACATCTATCATATCAATTATCTTTTATCATAGTTTTTTCAATTTATTCAAGAATATCATAACTCAAATATCCAAGATCTATCACAGAAAGCCCAAATTCACTCATCATATCAATTATCATAATTTTCCAAGGTATCAAAATCATAATTTTCACAATTATTCAATCGGATCCATATCACACATATATGGCACATAATTAATCTTCCAAAAGATACCATAATCATAATTTTCAAAAAATTGAATTATTCCCAAAAAATAATTATATAATTAATCCCATTATTTTCTATTGTTTAGAACCCAATAAAGTTCCCAATAATATAATTAACCTAAAAATTAAACCCAATAAGTTTCCAAATAATATAATAAATTTATAAATAACCCTATTATTTTCTAGGGGTCAAAACCCAATAAAGTTCCCAAATAATATGAAAATTTACAAATAATTAAAGATTAGGGATTATGATAAATTTTTATATAAAACAAAACTATAGTGCTCTGAGTGTTAGGATTACAAACAAAAATTCATACAAAAGATAACCTATAAATACCTAGGGATTAGGGTTACATATACTAAATATATAACTACCTAAAGATAAGGACTACACGCAACAAATTTTATTTAAAAGATAACTTATGATTTTCTAGGGATTAGGATTACCCGGTCTCCGTGTTTGCTAACTTCTAGAAAAAAAGCGATTTGGGAAGAGGAGAATTGTTGAGGATTAGAAGTGATTTGGTTTGGTTAGACTAGGTCTCTATTTATAGTTGGTGTGCTAGGCTTAGATATGGGTTTCGTACAATTATTATTATTTTTCTTAAATTCTTATGCCTCAGAATATTGCTGACTCATGACTGACTTATTATTGACTCATCATATCTAATCAAATTAACAATCAAACATTAATGCATAAATGATCAATCAATTAATAATTCAATTAATCACAATTTACCATTAGTCCTAATAACAGAAATATATATATATGTATCCATTATTATTATTACTACTAATTTATAATTGATTACTATTATTAATTTTTTATTGTTATAAATTACTATTATTTTCCTGGGATATTACATAAGTTTTATTTTTAAATGATTGTTTTCAATAATTATTCATTTAGAACATTCTTGTTGATGTATGTTGTAATAAATAATAAGGTTTATGTTTTGAATCGTAATGGTTGTTTTGTTCAAATGGATGTATCAATTATGTTGTAACTTTTATGATTTAGAGTTTTAATATCTATTCCTTTTGTCTATATATTCATATAGTTCCATATCTTTTCCAAGTGAAGGTAGTGTTGTTGGTCATTGGGTCAAGGTGGTCCAAACTCTTCAATTTCTCCCAGGATACAATGATTTAATGCTACTAACTCAAACAGTGGGTTTGCAGGTGAAATTACTACCTTATTTTATCCAGTATCCTTATGGATAATTCCAAAACCTTAAATTATTTGAAATCAAAGTGTTATTTGTGTTTGTGTGTGTAGCGTAGTAATCAAATGTTGGTAGTGTAAGATCTCATACACTTTCATCATTATATAGCTTTACATGGAATTTTATATATATTTTTATTTCAACCATTGAATTTTTTGTTCTTACTTAGATTCATGGAGTACAAACAAATTTGATTAGTAAACAAAAATTATAAACATGGTACGCATAGTGGGATCTTGTAATCCAACTATAGATTTTTATTTTTATTTTTTTTTAAACTTCACCCTTTAATTAGTTGTTTAATGATGTGAGGATGATTTTGTTTTACACTAATGTAAATTGATTTAATAGGAGTGGCAAAAATTAACCGTGTCCATTAGGCCATTAAATCATCGCAAGTTGTTAACTATACTTACAGAGTTAAATGGTTTCTGTTAGAGGTGTCATATAAAACTATTCATGTGTCTTAACAGCTAAGTTTTTGGGATAGTTGGTTCAGGACAGTTTTAATGAATTTTACATACTCTTTTCCATTAACGAATGGGTGATAAAGTATTATCCAATGTGTATGCATATTCCTATTCATCTATATGCTGCGTGACTTGTTTCTCTATTTTCTTCAACTTACTTTCCTATTAAACAACGTAGGGATAATGATTACTGAGTTTACATATGATGTTTCACCATTTGAAACAATGTTACAGAATTATGGTGCCTTCCTTGAGAAAGATGGAGCAGGGATTAGAGGTACAATCAAGCTCACTGGATTTAAAAATGGAGATATAGATCTTTCAAAATCATCATGGACCTACCAGGTATATCTTTATGTGTATAATGATAAAAAATACTACATAGAATCAAAAAAGATTGTAGTATTCTCCTTATCAACTGAGTGGGGCTAGTGTTTTTTTTACAAGAAATCTCTAGCAAACCTTCTTGTAAAAGCCCTCCCTTCACTTCCTCCGTGGGGATGGTCTACAGGGTTCATAACTACTCTTCTTACTACAGGACGCTTACCTAGCCAACATTTAGATCCAGCTCTACCCAAACTTTTCTGGATGGATATCTCGTATCCGAAAACTAGCAGTTCACCCCGTCAATCCCCCATAATGTATGAGATGCTTAATGATCCAAAAAAACTATATGAACTATTAACTGATTTCTAGAAGAAAATACTATTAGATGTAGTACACTATAGCTGTACTCTCTTTGTAAGTAGATAAAAACAGAGGTACTGAAAATGACCCCGTTATTTTCATTCAAAACAAAAGGTTACAATATATACACTATTTTGATTATGCAATTAGCAGAATTAATGCTTATAATGTAGGAAATAATAAGTCAGCTGTATATGTTCTGGCAGGATTAGGTTGTTTAAGTTGCCTATATGAAGTTTTCTATGTTAGGATTTTGACCTAGTCATTGAAATTAATGATATAAATTTGAATTTTTTTGTTTTTGTTTTTTCTTGGTTTCAAGTCTGTTCAACATGAGTTGGTCATTCTATTTCTGCCTTTGTTGCAAAGTAACTTAAAATGCTGCTTTAGGGGTGTGTTTTCTTGGTATGTCACGGTTTCACTATCTTTATTTTAAGTTAATTTCCTTGTTCTATAATTTTTATCTTAATGCCGTCACATTCTATACTTGTGGGTTGTTCTTTTTTATACCTCCTAAGTATAAGGAATTTCAAAATACTAAATCCAGTTTATTATCCTAGCAGGTTGGGCTTCAGGGTGAGTTTTTAAAATTTTACAGTGAAGAGAATGAAAGCACAGAATGGGTAGAGTTGACTCCTGATGTCATTCCATCCATGTTTACATGGTACAAGGTATTTATGAGCTGTTGAAATTATATATCTATGAGAATTGTTGTAATAAAAAAGATCTTATAACTAATTTACATTAATTTTTTAGAAATATAAAACCATTCGTAAACCTCTGCCTAATAGCTTAAGCTTCTTAGAGAGTTGGTTTTTGATGTGATATCGAAGCTTCTATGACTAGGTCAGAAGTTTGGTCCTTATTTCTCACATTTTTCTTGATAAAGCTAAATTTAAGCTTGTTAGCATATGTACAAAATATTTTAGAGGAAGAGAATGATGCATAATAGACTAGGATAATTTTGTCATTTTAGGGATACTTGTGTTACTTTATTTCGAGGAATCATATCTTGTAGAAATTTTATCTTATCTATAGTAAGTTATTTGTTTCCTTATATAATTAGAATTAGGAGTTTAGTATTAGTATAAATGGGACTGATTGGTTAGTATTTTGTATCGTAAAGAATCAATTCAACACCAAAAGCTTAAGCTGTTAGGTGATGTTAGATTAATGGTTTTATATATCTCTAACACGCCTCCTCACACGAGAGTCCATTGGGCTTTAAAGGTGGATAATGCATAAGTCCACCTACTTGTGCTAAGAAATTCCACAAGAGAAAGTGAGGGACGGTGAAGATCGAACCCGGGACACGAGGCTCTGATACCATGTAAAGAACCAATTCAACCCAAAAGTTTAAGTTGTTGGGTGATATTACATTAATGGTTTTATATATCTCTAACATGTATCATGCCACAATACACGAGAATATTATTTTTTATTTTTTTCCCCTCTCTTTTTATCCTTCTCTACCAAAACCAAAACCTATAATTTGAACAAAGCACAAGGTAAAATGGATCTGGTACTTATCCATACTTCAAGCCTAATGGCTCTTTTTAACAAGGGGCTTTGTTAGAAGGGGTTTGATTTTCTCATGTTGCATGAGAATTCAATTCTCATGTTGTGACTCAACTAGTAATAGGGTCACAACATGAGAATTGAATTCTCATGCAACATGAGAAAATGTTTTTCCTTGTTAGAAATATAAAATCATTCCCGAACCTCTTCCAAACAACTTAAACTTTTAGGAACATTGCTCCTTGACAGATTTCAAACCCAACAATGAGTAAGCTGTTAGGACTAGCCCAATAATGAGTTTTGTCTTTAACATGCTCTCTCAGCACCCTGGACAGGTTGGCCACTAATTTTATGGTGAGAATATGGGAAGCGGGACTAAAGGTTTGACCAGTGGGTGAAAGGGGCTCTTATACCATGTCAAGAAGATCAAGTTGCTCAAAAAGATTAGGCTATTGGGTGTGTTGGCATAAGAATGCTTTATCACAAATGATATCCGTAGTAAAATCATTCGGACAATGTAATGTATGTAAACTGTACTGTCTGGCATTATAGGCCATCTTCCCTCTGAGAGATTTCAAGACCTCACTAGCAAGCTAGAAATGATAGATATTCTCTTACAAGCTAGAGGGGAAGTGTTGTAAAAATAAAAGAAATAACTGTGTAATTATTGTTGTAACACCTCCAAATTTCTAACAATTTTTAAAACAAAGAAATTGCCAAAATTCACATTTAATTATTTTATTTGGATCTAATAAATGCTGCGAAAGCTAATCTAAAACTAATTTGGGAAAATGTTGTCGTGCAAGGCTAACTGTATTACATTCATAAGTAATAAAATAAAACCAATAAAACTAGTGACTGTTTTAAACATAAAATTTAGCACTAGCTAGAAATATCTGAGTCGTTATCCTCACTGCCCACAGCTAGCCCCATCCTTTGCAACCTGTTTCACTGAAAATCCTGCTCCCCCGAAGGATTATTGCAGCACAAAAAACAAACACAATAATCAGCAAATGCTGGTAATCCCAATCAAAATATAACTCAAATATTCACATAATCAAATCAATTATATATATTCATATAATAATCAAATTCAATATCAATTCCATTTTTCATCATATATATCTTTATTAAGTTCATTTAGTGGGAAGAGAACCTTAGTAGACCCGGGAGACCCTGTTGCCAGCCAGGTATAATCAAAATTGGCCATCATTTCACATCTTCCTAGTGTGCATATCTCTTCCCAAAGTTGCTACTAGTAACCTGGGAGTCCCTGTTGCCAGATACCACTTGGAAAGAACGGATAACATCGTTGTCACATCAATTCATATCAAAGGCATAAAGCCCAAAGGTTGTTTTCATCACTTTCAGGAGTTATCATCCAAAAAGCTATCTTCCCACCATTATTCATTACAATTACACAAAATCAATTCAATCTTATATCAATTGTCATAATTTCAATTGTCCAAAAATATCAAAATTTCCATTGTCCAAGAATATCATAATTTTCATATTCAATGTCTACCAGAGTAAAGTCCAAATCCAATCATATCATAATTTTCCAAATCGGAATTCGAACATTCAATATCTAAAGGCCCAAATCATATCATAATTCAAACATTATTAAAATAAAGCTCAAATCAATATTCATAATTCAATCATATCAATCATCATAGGTTTTCAAGGATATCATAATTTAAATAATTCAATTATTATCATTAAAGAGTTAAAATTTAATTTAATTATTCATACCAAAATAATTATACAATTTATCCTATTAATTCAAAAATTTAATTTAAATACCCTAAGAGTTACATATGAAAACATCCTAAAATTTCCTAAGGATTAGGATTGCTGGTCTCCATATTTGATGACTTCTAGAAGGAAAAGCGATTTGTGAAGAGAAGCGCGGTTGGTAGTCAAAGAAAAATAATAATAAAATAAAAATTTGAAATAGAAAGAAAGAGAAGAAGGGGAGAAGATGAGATGGAGAAATGCTGAGAATTGGAAGTGATTTGGTTTGGTCAGGTTAGGCCTTTCTTTATAGCTGAAGTTTTGGGCTTAAGATATGGGCTTCGTAGAATTTATTTCTCATGATTGGCTAGGATAAGTTTGCTGACTCATCCTAATCCAATGCATTTAATGTTATGATATGCAAAGGGATACTTGCTATTATTATGCTTTATTACTATTGGTTATCACAATATATCATTAATATAACTTAATTATTACCAAAATAATTATTCACATTATCAATCAAATGATAATAAAATTAAATGCAGAAATTACCATACGACCAATCAATTAAAAATTCAAATAATTATTATCATAATTTATCATTAGTCCTAATAATATATATATATACATTATTATTATTACTACTAATTTATAAATTATTATTATTATTATAAATTACTATTTATCCTGGGGTATTACAATTGTAGATTGTTTTTCCCTTTTATTAGACAGACTATGATAGGACATGTTTTAGGAAAGACATGTGACACATTATTAGACAGATTTATTTCTTATTTGTTTTGCTCGAATCAGCTCTTTATTAGGAGAGTAATTACTCATATTGATCTGTATATTGTATACCTCTGTACATGAATAATCAAGTAGTAGTAATCAGTTTTTCCATATTCCAACTATATGTGACATAAGAGCTATAAATCAAATAGTTGTTTCTTCTTGCATGGCGAGGTAGCGTGGCAATTATGGAGTAGTCATTCGGGCAGTTTGGAGAATGTTACAATTATGAGGTGTGGAAAAGGAGGAAAGAGAGAAAGAAATTGAAGAATATGATATGAGATTCTTTGATGTGATAAAATATACACACCTCATTCTCCTATTTATACTAATAATTAAGTCAATTACTCAGTACTACCAGTACAAGCCTAAGCCTACTGATACAAGAAGACTCCTAACCCTGATATTCTAACGAAGAAGTTTCTATCTTTCAAACTGATTGGGAGTTTTTTCCCCCAATCCACTTTAGGTCTGGGAGTAGAAAGAGGAGTAAGGTGCTCTGAAATTATGCTTTTTGCTAGAGTATGGTCTATTTGGCTGGAGTTCAACTCCAGAATGTTTAGCCTGAGATGTCTTCTTCCTCTTATTTTGTGGGATAGGCTTGTTTTCTTAGCTTACATGGAGGTCGTGGGCTTTCTCAGGGAGTTTCTGTGTCTAATATGACCTGATCAGTTCTTTCTTTAAAGTCTTGTGTTCTGTTTTAGGAAGATTCCTGACCCTCTTGCATATGTTACTTTCTCTTAATAAATTCTTCTATATAAAATATCAAATGTGTTAGCTCCCTCAATTCATTTTTCGTTGTGCTCCCTTGCTCAATTCTATATATGTTTGGTCTCTGTGTGCCTCAGATACTGTCTATTTATTTATTTATTGTAATTATCATGCCCAATGCACACCAACGGAGTGAGAGTGAATCTAAAATCATGATCTTACTGCTCGGATTGTATGAATGTTGCTATTAAGCCCACTGGTCATTTTTTCCTGAGGAATTTTTTTTTTTTTCACAATAACCCAATAATAACCATCTATTTATTCAAGCAGACATATTTTGATGTCCCTGGTGGCACAGATCCGGTTGCTCTTGACTTGGAAAGCATGGGGAAAGGTCAGGCTTGGGTCAATGGTCACCATATTGGAAGATACTGGACTCTGGTTTCCCCAAAAAGTGGATGTGAAGAAGTCTGTGATTATCGTGGAGAATATAATTCAGACAAGTGTTCAACTAATTGTGGAAAACCAACTCAAACCTTGTATGTAGTCTTTGAAGTAGCTAAAACTGTTGGTTTCACAAAAAATCTTGATGGACAAAGTGTGAAAAGCCATTCAAGGCAACATTTATCCCCCCGTTGATTTACAGCTTTACATCCACTATTGTACTAGAATAATTTAAATTCTCGCAGCCAATCCTCGTAATAATCTTACTAATTGCCAAATGAAGAAAGTATTGAATGATTTTTATGTTCCCAAGATATTAAATATATCTACTTTTTCATTTAATACTTTCTTGATAAGGACTAGGAGGATTATTAAGATTTTTTTAGGAGGATATGGCATTACTCATTGTATTATCCTGCGGAAATAAATTTTCAAAGCCACTTTCCTTGACTATGGTCAATCTCCAGGTACCATGTCCCACGATCATGGTTGAGAGCATCCAACAATTTACTTGTCATGTTGGAGGAAATTGGAGGAAATCCCTTTGGGATTTCTGTCAAGTTACATTCGGCCACAATAATATGTGCTCAAGTGTCAGAATCCTACTATCCACCTTTGGAAAAGTTGGTGAATTCAGATCTAATTGGTCAAGAAGTTCATGCAAATAATATGATGCCTGAAATGCACCTGCGTTGTCAAGAAGGACACATAATTTCCTCCATAACATTTGCTAGCTTTGGAACTCCAGGAGATAGTTGTCAGAGTTTTTCTAGAGGGAACTGCCATGCGCCTAGTTCAATATCCATAGTTTCCAAGGTAAACTCTAAATCGGGTAGCACTTTACTCTTGGCAAGTACTTTTGATATTTGTGGATATAATTCTCTGCAAGAAGGCAAAAGCTCCATAAAATTTTTGCGTTGTGCACTTGACATGGATAAAACTGACAAGGGCAGGATATTTTCCAAAATACTTAACTGTATATTTAGGTAAGTATTAGGATTAAAGAAGTATTATAATCAGTGATAGACGTTTCTCTTATATTTAGGTAAGTATTAGTATTAGCCGCAGGCTTGTAGTGTTTTAATGAAAAATATTCTCATTCACCTAAGAAAAGAGGGGGGGGGGGATTACTTACCCGCTATTCACAGTTTTATGAATATAGTGATTACAAATCTCCTTCAGTATAATGATATGGGTGAGCTATCTTTGAAAAGATGGTATTGGGTTGACTATTAAGGTGTGAAGTGAGCAAGGATCTGCTCCATGCTAATTCATGCCTATATCAAGCAAAACAATAGTAGGCATGGTTACACAAAAGCCTAATTTTTCTAGCGCCAAAGTTAATATGTCCTTTCTGTGTGATCTTACCTAATTTATGTTGTAGACCTATCGATATACTTATTACGTTTTGCAGGCTTGCCAAGGGAAAAGGAGCTGCTCCATTCAAATCTCAAACTCGGTATTTGGAGGTGACCCCTGCCAGGGTGTTGTGAAAACGTTGTCTGTGGAAGCACGATGCACATTACCGAGTCGTGATGGTTTCTTTAACTTTGAGGCTTTAAGCAGCTTCTAAAACGAATCAGGTATGAACCTTGTTGCCATAAGCCAACCAGCTGGCCCATGTACTATTCATAAACGACCCTTAGTTGTGTTCAATGGTCGATTGTATAAATATGATACTACAGAATGCGGGGTCTTTTGGCTTTTGACAGTAAGTAAATAATGTCCTTTGTACATGCAATAACATCTGATTATCCTTGTTGGGCTATTCTGGATGAAGGTTATAGGATTAGCACCTCCTTTAATCCATAAGATCTTTGAGACATGGAACATTTGAACAGATCTCACTGTTATAACTAGAGAGCTTAAAACCAACGATGCACTGCTTAATCTTAACAAATTTTTGTAAGCAATATTTATTATTTCATCATAAAACAGTTACTTATTTCTAAACTAAATTTCAAACTTATGATAATTTTGGGGCATAAGACCTGAATATTCAAAAATAATGTTGAATAAAAACATGTTATAATTTAAATTAAAAATAATATAAAACAATATTCTTTTTAAATCAATTGAAAAAAAATGAAAGCACTTTTTGATGTACAAATGCTGAAAAGGAGAAGTAAAAGTAATGGAAAACACCTATAAGCTTAACAATATCATAATCAAATTCCATAATAAATTTTTATTTGTATTGACATTATGTAATCAAAAAAATCGTTTTCATACATAAATTTAAGTACTTTTAAGAGAAAGATAGACACAGAAGTAGAATTTATATATTTTTTTTCAGTGACACCTACATCTCTGTGTCTATCTCTCTTTTAAAAGGATTAAGTTTGTGTCTTTTATTTGTTCATAGTAACTTATTTTCCTTGATACAATATCACCCTCGAGGGCATTTCAGTAGGTTGTTAAGTGTGCCTAGAATAGAAAACGATTAGCAAGAAATGGAGGGAAAAGCTAAGTAGTGGAGGGCAGGGGAAGGCGAGAATCATCTAGAATTTGACTTTGGGTCATGGAACTTACGAAAGAATAAAGTCTCTCTAATTAATTGAGTACTAGACAACACAATCCCAGATTAATTGTTGGTGAAACCAATATCTTGCCTTCGTAAGGTCTTGTATAGGTCATAATTAAATCAAATTCTATGGCTAGGGCCGATAAGGATAAATAGGAATAGTTACGTTGTGACTGACAACTATAACTTTTAATTTAATAGTAAATGGTCAATCCAAAACCATACATTCAATTCCTTGAACAACACTTTGCGAAAAGCAAGATGTTTACAAAAGGGGATTGTTGTCAAGACCAATATCATATCTTAAAAAGGTCTTAGTATGTGTTGAAATCAAATCAAACACTCGATCCAACATTAATGACAAATTTCTAGCTCAACAAAATCACGCTTTCACACAGGTAAAAAGTATAAAGTTCATATAGTGACAATGTTGCATTTTTAATAAAATTATTGTAAACTAGTTGGGTACCAATTAATTTTATCTCCCAAAACCTTTTTTTTTTTCAATCAAGAATTCATATAGTATATTATAAATAAGAGATATATTATTTTACCTATTATTTTTTATGTCTACCTTTGTCTATCACTCTCTAACGCCATTAGATCATAATTTCAATAGGAGAGATAAATTATATAGATAGTTGAAATTCTGATCTAACAATATTGAAAAGTGATAGACAAAGATAAACAGAAAAAAGATAAGTAGAATAATCTATCCCTAAGAAATAAACGGTGAAACCGCTAGGGATGTACATGGGTCGAATCGAACTAAATTTTTTGAAAAACCCAACCGAATTGGTTAAATGATTCGGTTCAAAAATGATTCAATTTAATTCAAAACTGGTTCGATTCAAAAGTGATTCAGTTCGACCTCATTTTGAAAAGAAAAAAAAAAATAAAAATAAAGTTATAAAAATCAATTTAGTTCAGTTCAGAAACTATTCGGTTCAAAAACCATTTCGGTTCTTAAACTGATTCTAAAAACCGGTTCGGTTCATGAACTAGTTTTTAAAAACCGATTATTTTAAGGGCAGTTCAGTTCAGTTCAATTTTTTTGTTATTTTGCACACCCCTAGAAACCGCTACAATATTTTCACAAGCAATTATACAATATCCAAATAATTGATTCACATGTACCAGACAATCCGCAGATCAGTGACATTTTTAGCTCAGCAAAATCAACGCTTTTACAAATATGAAAAGTGTAATGCTTTTAAGACAGCTAGGGAGGAGAACTGGGTTTCACTTCAAGCGTCTGATTTTCTTTGTCGCATTGATAATGTTTTGACCTATCTCTGGATGTTTAAAGTTCAACAATTTATCAAGTTTATGAGAAGCTTCAGAAAAGCAGCTATCCTCGATACAGGACTCCGATTTGAGAGCAAAATGAACCTCGTTGACGTCCTCATCAAGCTGGAGGCAAAAGAGGTGGCTGAAGACCTATGTAAAAACATAAATATTACAGAATGATCAAGAGTCTCTAAATACAGTAAAAACCACGTCGTTGGTGGACAAGGCATGGTTATATATTCGATAAGAACATCCAGGTTGTAATATTCTCAATAAACTAAAATAAGCTTCCTCATAGTAAACAAATGAAATATCATACTAGAAAGGATGGGTTAACATCTTCTAGGAGATAGAATCACAGCTTTCTCACAAATCTCTGTGATGTGTTGCACACATTCAGAAAAAAGCAACAATCATAATTATTTCTACTTTTTCGCAGCAGCTAGTTATAAACCTGGGAGAGGTTTTCTCATAAATCTTCATTGAACACTCGAAACTTGGAGCACTTTTCTTTGAAAAGTTCACAGGTTACGTCAGAGTAAGGGTGCATTTTTACCCAACTGTGCAACTGACTGTATGGTGTTTGCCATCAATCGGAGAGCACAGCTTCAAAGGAAAATATTTGCTCTACTCTATAGATTTGTTTTGGGTTGGTAATGTTTTCACGGCTTCTTAATATCTTGCTCATATCTTAGGATAATTTAACGTATATGATAAATGAGGAATAATTTCCTTATTTCTTCATATATGTTGTATCTTAGGATTCGGAATTAGTGTTTTATACCTTGTATCACATCAAATCACAACTAATTTCATATTCTGTCCTTTCTTCCTTCCATACCTAAATTACCTATAATCTTAACAATATTTATACGCACACAGACTCCTAAAGAGCTCCTTATGTATTATTACTCAAGGAGGGACACCATTGGTGACCATAGTATGAATTTTGTTTCTCATGAAAAAACAGGAAGAAAACAAAAACAGAATACAGATGTTTAACACGTGTAATCAGTATCTAATCAAACAATATGATACAGAGACTGCTAGCAAAAAGCATAGTGTCAAATGAATATTATTGCACTAATATTTGTTTTTACCGTTTCCATTCTCAAGAGGACCATGTCCTTAATGGCCTGGGACCGTGACACCAAATTCACAATAAACAGACCTTGCTCTGAAAGTTTATCCTTTACAGTCTCAAGAAAAGATTCATCCAAAAAGCCCGGAGCAGGGCATGTCATTCCAGAGCTGCATAAAATATGTAAAGGATAATTAGGATTCCAGAAATCATAGTAGACATTATTGAAACGCATCCATTCATTAACTAAAAAAAAAAAACTTTATTAATTGTTCCACAGAGGTTGACCAAGACCTTTTCATTTCATCTTCCTCTGTCCTATTGTTCGTCTCCCTCTCCCCTGTTCTGCAATTTTTTTATTCTCTTCATTTTCTCCATTTTCACAACAACTTCCTTGCACCCAACTTGTAATAGGAGCTTAAGGTCGGTTTCTACTCCTCTGATTCTTGTTTCTTTTATACCAAATCCCATAATCTCTCAAGCTTGGCTAGCTCAAAAATGATGGGTAGGTATATTTTGTAGCTTTGGTTAAAATTAGACGGATTGTGGATTGTGGGTTCTAGTAAGAAATAATAGGAAAGTTAATTTTTGGATATTCACATGAGTTTCTAGAAAACCCAATAACTTACAATTAGGGGGCGTTTGGTTGAGGAAATTTTTTTGAAATAGTAGGGAAATGAGATAGATAGAGAAATGATTGGAAAGATAGATAAAGTGAGATAGGTAGAAAAATGTAAAAAAAAATTGTTTGGTAGGGAAAAAATTTACTGGGAAAATTAGGTAACTTTATGAAATCAACAGTGCATTAAAAGTCAGATACCCGGTTTTCCGAAAAATCCCACCTTCAAATTGGGTTTCTAAACAGTGCGGATATCTATGTTTCTCATAAATCCAGACAAATTAGATAGATGGGTTTTTGGTGAAAAACGTTGAAACAAACATGGTGTTTCTAAAAGCCATACTTGAGAAAGATAGATATCCCCTAAAAAGCTCCCAACCAAACACCACCTTAGGGATTTTAGAAAATCCTCACTGCCTCCTACTGTTGATGTTCAGTCATAGGAAGTTTTCTAAGTCGTGAATCAATAGTGCTCATGGTGGCATAATTTATTTCAAATATTTTTTTTACTTATTTTGTTATATCATTTTCGTTTAATAGCGTATGCAGGGAGACAACCCTTTTATAATTTATGTGATCACTCATAAATTCCATGTTATAGATTTTTGTATAACGGCATCATTATACCTGTGATTTGAAGCAGTAATTACTTATCACATTTTGAATTGGAAAAAAAGTAATTACTTATGACATGTTAATTTTAAAAGTATGTGATTACAGAAAGTTTTAAACATTTGAAATGGATTTGGTATAAGCCAAGTATGATTTAATGATTTTTATGTATATATTGGAGATCCATATTAGAATCTCATAACCATTAGCAAGGGTAACACTCTAAGTGCACCTAGTCATGTATATGAATATTTTACTCCAAGAGAGGGTATTAGTTAGATGAAGCCACTACAGGAGAAAAGCCACCCTTCGATGAGAGGACTGTTAACGAGATAAAGCTGTCCTTGATGAAATGATATGATTTGATTTGAGGGATGAATGCGTTACTAGTTAGATGGAGCTGCCTCTAGAAGTAGAAGGCTATCAACGAGGAACCGCTGCCTCAAATTCAATTCTCACACATATGACTGGGGATGTGATACAGCCCAGCCCATTAAAGTGTACAAAAGAGACAACAATAGAAGAGTTTGGGCCTCTGCTGTGGCCTCCACTGCTGCTGACTCAGCAACAAATGCAACAAATGCCCATCCTACCCTCCAACAGAATGTAGAGCTGGCACCAATTGGTTAAGAAGGGAAGCGTGGTGCTGCAGTGACTATCGGGTAGCATTTTCTGGATTGGAACTTAGGAGAGTGTGGAGTCTCTCGAATACTCCTCATTATCATTTCCTTCTGTTTCTTTTATCTTTTCCTTTAAGTGTAGTTTGCTGTTTGAGATACAAAGAGTGGAATAGTGTAATTTGTTTCTGAGAACGATTGAATTACATACTGTAACACATATACAGACCCATAATATAGCAATTTGAATTTCTTTTCCAGAATTGTTTGTGTGATTTGGTTTTATTGTTGAGAGGTCTGTATCAAGTGGTATCAGAGCTCCGATCTAGGAGCTCTGTGGATGGTATTGACGCGTCAGATGGATCAACGTTTAGCGTTCTTGGAAGAAGGACAACGCCAGAACGAGGCAAGGCAGGAAACAGCAGCGCGTCGAATGGAAGCTACTGAGCTGAGTTTGGCTGAGGTATTGCGTCGTTTAGACACGATAACTCAGACGTTGCGCGAGAGAGACGGTCGTAGCCGTTCAGGAAGTAGAGGAGGATCGCGACATAGCAATCACGAAAATGAAGGGAATGGGGACGGTGAAGGGAATGGGGACGGTGAAGGGAATGGGGACGGTGATAGGTTCGAACGGCGAAGGGTCCCTTTTAATAGTAACCATCGACGACTCGAAATCCCCACGTTCTCCGGCGAGGACGCTTACGGTTGGCTAAGCAAGGTTGAAAGGTATTTTGTCATGAACGGTGTAGAAGAGGCAGAGAAAATTACAGCAGTCATGGTGGTTCTTGAAGGAGAAGCATTGCATTGGTACCAGTGGTGGGATTTAAGCGCTGCAAACACGACTTGGGCGCAGTTTCGTAGAGAATTACTTAGTCGCTTTCAGCCTGACATCCTCGACAACCCTTTTCGTGCCCTATATACATTGAAGCAAACTGGAACCGTGGCTGAATTTAGGGTGGAGTTTGAGAAGGTGGTGGGGGCAATGAGATTTGAGGACGATGAGTTGCTCAAGGGTGCTTGGTTGAACGGCGTCAAAACCAGCATACGTGAGGAGCTGCTAATGTACCCGTCGTTAGGATTGATGGAGATGATCAAGCTTTCGGTGAAGCTTGAAAAAAGAAACCAGGCTTGGTGTGAAGAGGGGATTGGGCCAGCAAGTAGAGCCCAAATGGCTGGAACCCCAAAATTCAACGCTACCCATCGATTGGGCCTAGGCCCAAATGACTCTAAATTAGGAACCCAACCACCATCAGGTTTGGGTATACCTAATACAAAGACAGCTAACAACGAAGGTTCCAGAATGACAAACGCAACGAAGGGATCTGCAATCCCTAATTCGTACGAAGTTGGGGGTCGATTTCAAGAGAGCCAAGGAAGTACGAACAGAAGGTTGTCTCAGACTGAGTGGCGAGACAGACAGAGGAAGGGCACGTGTTTCAAGTGCGACGAGAAATGGAGTCCTGAGCATAAGTGCAAAGTGGGACAACTCCATTTGCTGATACTCGATGAAGAAGAGGGAGAAGTAGTTGAAATGCAGGGCGATCCGCCGGATTTGACACAGGAGGCAACCGTGGAGGGTGAGGAAGTAGCGTTTCACCTGTCAATGCAAAGCCTTATGGGGCTTTCGTCGAATCATTCGCTGATGGTTTGGGGGGAGATTCAAGGAAGAAAGGTTGTTGTTTTAGTCGATAGCGGTGCATCAAGGAATTTTATTCGCAGAGAGTTGGCCCATGCGCTGGGGCTACAAGTGACTGAGACTCCCACATACCAAGTGGTCGTCGGTGATGGACACAAAGGTCAGTTGCAGGGGAGTATGTTTTGGGGTCACGGTTGACATACAGGGGACTTTGATTACACAAGATTTGTACTTGTTTGAGTTGGGAGGAACCGATGTAGTGCTTGGGTTGGACTGGTTGACCGGATTGGGAGAAATCAAAGCTAATTTTAAGGATTTGACCTTGAAGTACAGAGAAGGAAGTGGAGAGGTATTAATAAAAGGAGATCCCTCCTTATGCACATCCATTTGCTCTTTGAAGTTTATTGTCAAGGCTTTCAGAAACGAGGGCCAAGCTTTCTTATTGGGTTCCGGAGAATCTAGTCAGGCACAAGATGATGAGTCATTTTCGTGGAGGGAGCTCGAAGAACTGTTACAGGAATACGAGGACTTGTTCAGAGAACCCAATGGTCTTCCTCCTAGCCGTACACAGGACCATGCCATCTTGTTCAAGCCTGGCAGTCAGGTACCCAACATTCGGCCCTACAGGTATCCTCACTACCAAAAATCTGAAATAGAAAGATTAGTTGCTGAATTGCTTGATAATGGGATGATTAGACACAGTGTTAGCCCCTACTCGAGTCCTGTGATTCTAGTCAAAAAGAAAGATGGTAGTTGGCGGGTATGCGTCGATTATAGGGCACTTAATAAGTTGATTGTCCCAGATAAATTTCCTATTCCGGTAGTAGATGAGTTGCTGGATGAATTAGGGGAGTCAATAGTGTACACCAAACTTGACTTGAAATCCGGATTCAACCAGATTAGGATGAGGGCAGAGGACATCCCCAAGACTGCCTTTAGGACACATGAGGGTCATTACGAATATTTGGTGATGCCATTTGGCCTCACCAACGCAGCCTCTACCTTTCAATCCCTTATGAATGACGTATTAAGGCCATTCCTCAGGAAATTTGCTTTAGTATTTTTTGATGACATTCTTATATACAGCAAGAGCCGTGAGGAACATCTAGTTCATTTGGAACAGGTTTTTCAAGTACTTCGTAAGCATGTCCTGTTGGCTAATAAAAAGAAATGTAGTTTCGGTAAGGGCCATGTAGAGTATTTGGGGCACATTATATCAGCTGAAGGAGTTCGGGCAGATCCGAATAAAATTAGTGCCATGGTTAATTGGCCAGCCCCAAAGAATGTTAAGGCATTGAGGGGCTTCTTGGGGCTCACTGGATATTACAGGAAATTTGTAAAGGACTATGGAAAAATTGCTAAGCCTTTGACTGATTTGCTGAAGAAGAATGAGTTTAAATGGTGTCTTCTTGCTGAGCAATCTTTTACACAGTTGAAAGAATTAATGAGTACCGTACCAGTTCTTGCACTGCCAGATTTCTCCAAGGTTTTTACAGTAGTGACAGATGCTTCTGGGAAGGGTATAGGAGCAGTTTTGACACAAGATGATAGGCCATTGGCTTACATCAGCCAAGGTTTCTCTCAAAGGGCTCAAAACAAGTCAGTATATGAAAGGGAGTTGATGGCTATTGTGTTTGCAGTGCAGAAATGGAGACACTATTTGATGGGCAGGCACTTCATTGTAAAAACTGACCAAAAGAGTTTGAGATTCCTTTCTGAGCAACGTATTCTAGGAGAAGACCAACAAAAGTGGACCTCCAAGCTTTTAGGATATGATTTTGAAATCCAGTATCATCCTGGAAGACAAAATCAGGTTGCAGATGCTCTTTCTAGGCAGATGCAAATGACCATGGTGTCTCAAGTGCAGCTGCCTGACTTGACTCAGTGGGAGGCTGAGGTTCAGCTTGATCCAGTGCTCAGAAAAATTATGCAGGACCTTATTATTGATCCAGAACAGCATGTGGGGTTTAAATTGAAGGAAGGGAGGCTGTTTTTTAAGGATCGGCTAGTCTTATCAAAGGAATCCAGATTTATACCTCTCTTACTCAAGGAGTTTCATGACACATCCATAGGGGGGCATTCTGGTTACTTCCGTACCTACAAGAGAATGGCTGGTTTAATCTATTGGGAGGGTATGAAGCGCACCATTCAGAAATATGTGGCTTCTTGTGAGGTTTGCCAGCAAAATAAGGTTCAAAACCTTTCACCTGCAGGGTTATTACAGCCCCTCCCAATACCCACTAAGGTTTGGGCTGATATCTCCATTGATTTCGTGGGTGGGCTGCCACGAGCATATGGTGTTGATACAATTTTTGTGGTGGTGGACCGTCTCACCAAATATGCTCATTTCCTCCCCTTGAGCCATCCCTATACGGCTAAAGATGTTGCTGAGTTGTTTATTAAGGACATCGTTCGACTTCACGGTTTCCCTCTCACCATTGTCTCGGATAGAGATAGAGTGTTTTTGAGCTCGTTTTGGTCAGAATTGTTCAAGGCTGCTGGGACCAAGTTACATTATAGTACGGCTTATCACCCACAAACTAATGGTCAGACGGAAGTGGTTAACCGTTGTTTAGAGACATACTTGAGGTGTTTTTGTAGTCCTAAACCCAAGAGTTGGCCCAAATGGGTACATTGGGCAGAATTTTGGTACAACACCACCCACAAGGACTCAACTGACATGACCCCATTCAAGGCTCTATATGGTAGTGATCCCCCACATATTTTTAAGGATGCTCAGAATGGCTCAACGGTTGATGCTGTTTGCCAGCTCCTTCGCGAGCGCAATCTTATTTTGAATGATTTACAACAGCATCTTTTAAAGGCCCAAAATCGGATGAAGGAGCAAGCAGATCACCATAGGAGGGATTTGCAACTCTCTGTTGGGGACCTTGTTTACTTGAAATTACAACCTTATAGGCTCAAGACTATTGCCAGAAAGGTTAATGAAAAGTTAAGCCCAAGGTATTATGGACCTTACCCAATCTTGGAACGTATTGGTGAATCAGCTTACAGGATGAAGCTCCCAGATGATTGCAAGGTCCACCCTGTATTCCATGTATCACTCCTCAAGCCAGCTGGTTGTCCTAGGCCTAATTCACAGCCCCTACCTTCTGTCTTAACAGAGGAGTGGGAGCTAAAAGTGGAACCAGAAAGCTTGGTGCGATGGAGACGCTCCAACAGGGGATTTCTGGAGGTGTTGATCAAGTGGGTTCATCTCCCTGAGTTTGAAAATACATGGGAGCAATTTTCTGTCATCAATCGTCAATTCCCTAATTTCAACCTTGGGGACAAGGTTCTTAAAATGGGAGGGAGTATTGATACAGCCCAGCCCATTAAAGTGTACAAAAGAGACAACAATAGAAGAGTTTGGGCCTCTGCTGTGGCCTCCACTGCTGCTGACTCAGCAACAAATGCAACAAATGCCCATCCTACCCTCCAACAGAATGTAGAGCTGGCACCAATTGGTTAAGAAGGGAAGCGTGGTGCTGCAGTGACTATCGGGTAGCATTTTCTGGATTGGAACTTAGGAGAGTGTGGAGTCTCTCGAATACTCCTCATTATCATTTCCTTCTGTTTCTTTTATCTTTTCCTTTAAGTGTAATTTGCTTTTTGAGATACAAAGAGTGGAATAGTGTAATTTGTTTCTGAGAACGATTGAATTACATACTGTAACACATATACAGACCCATAATATAGCAATTTGAATTTCTTTTCCAGAATTGTTTGTGTGATTTGGTTTTATTGTTGAGAGGTCTGTATCAGGATGTAAATGGGCCGAGCGGCTTGTCAAGATCCCAAGGCTTGACTTGCTTTAAGCTTGGCTTGGCCTGTCTTGCTTAATAAATAAAACGAGCTCAAACTTTGAAAAAAGCTTGTTTAGCAAACAAGCCCAAGCCTATTTAATGAGATTTGACTTGAAAGCCTGTGAGCTGGCCTGATAAATTATTATAATAAATAATATCTTTTTATGCCATTGAATCATTTGTTTGTTTTGGATATGTAGAGTTGGAGATGGTGACTTGTATTCAAATGATATTGGAGAGGGTAAATTTTGGGTTCTATACAAGTTTCATGTGGGTGGGTCTGTGTGATTCTCATGAGCTGGATCAATATTTAAGAAGAAATTGTGGAACTCATTATTTGATCATGAAATCTCGACTTTATTGTACCTTGAATTGGTTCCAAACTAGCCCATGAATCGAATCTCTAGGGGGATAATTGAATGAATTGAAAATGTTATTTTTTTGTTTCGGCTAGATAGCATGAAAGATGTAGTTATATGTGGACTGTGATGGTTCTATGATTGTTTTTTCTCTGATGAAGAATACATAATTTGATGATTTATAGTCTCAACATTAGGACGTATATGAGTTCGGAAAAAATACATTTTATAATTATAAATGAACCAAGCCAAACCTTTAATTTTTCATAAACAAGCCAAGCCTAGAATTTAGCTAGCACCAGGCTAACGGGCCAAGCCAAGCTTAAAATATTTTTCATAGGCTTGGCTCGGCCCAGCTCATTTACACCCCTATATATGACCCCTTTAGTTTTAAAACCTAAACTTCACTATGTTTTGCAAATGGTTATATTTCATCATTAAATTTATGTATTTTATCTCATGCTTGTGAAATAAATAATGATATTTACTGTTAGAGAGACATAATATAAAAACCATAGATGTACCTTCACGAAACAGCTTAAGCTTTTAGGTAAATTGGTTGCTTTACATGGTATCAAAGCTTCCGTGACCACAGGGTCGTGAGTTTAATTCTCACCGCCCCCCATTTCTAGTAGAATTAAGTCAACATAAGGCAGAATAAAAAAATAGGCCTGTGTAATATCCACGCTTCAAGTCCAAAGAGCTCTTACATGAGGGGATATGTTAGAGAGATATAATATAAAGTCATTGATGGGTCTTCACTTAAAAGATTAAGCTTCTAGCTGAATTGGTTACTTTACGTTTACATCATGTTATAAATTTCTAAGAATTCTTGTTTATGCACATATTTTATTGGTTTTGTTTATATTGTTTTCTTTCATTGTCCTAACATGTTTATAACGTAGTTTTTAAAGATCAAACCACTTGTGCATTGTTTGTTTTCCCTCCTAGTTCATTTGGATTGGGTTTCCATCTAGATCACACCAGGCAACTGAGTTGCAGGTTGTTAGAAGTTGCAGTCCTTCACGGTAAATTTGTTTTTGGTAGGCCTCCATTGTGTAGGTGGCCTTTTGATTTCTTTTGGAGCTCAAGGCATTTTGCAGCTATAGAAGATTAGTTTGTAATTATTTTGAGTTGTATTAAATATTTCAATACTTGAGCATTATATCTAGTTTAATACCAGTGGGCTGTATATATATCCTAACAGGTGCTAATTATTTTGGGATGTTAAACTCACTGGAGAAACTCTGCTGAGATTTAGGTAAATTTTGCTAAATATTTTTTTTTGATAGATAGACTTATGAAGCTAAAAGGTATTTGGATTAACTTAGCCTCTGCACCAGGCATGGCTAGGGACTAGGACATAACTATTTATAATCCTCTAACAGCCTAATACCTTATTTTTCATGACCATTCTTTAATAGCTTAAAGTAATAACCAAATGCATAATTAAATCACCTTGGATCTGAAGAGTCAACATCAACAATAACTATATCCATTTTTGTAGCTTCTACAATCTCTACATGAGATGCAGTTGAACTCCCATTTGAAGGAGACTCGGTGTGACTAGAATTATTACTTTTTCCATGAACCTGAGCTGCTTCAGAACTGGCAATTTCTCGGACAAACTGGATCCCATCAGCTATATGCACCTGGATTTCCATAGTAATGAGATTTAGTAGACAATGTTGTGACGTCTCCATCCCAAGATTAAAAAAAAACACTCAACATGCTTTATCTGCTGTTACCACATTTTTATCATTCTCCATACTCAACATATTTAAACCAGTGTTTATAACTGTATAAAAATTCATGAAATAAAAATAACTACTTGCAGCAGTCAACAGCATATGATTCATGTAGGGATAAATAATCTTTTGTTTCATGTGGATATTTCCTTTGTGGAAGTTAGTAATCTGGCTTTACTTCTTTGGTTCATCCAACTTGGATTTAGAGGCTTTCACCTAGATTTTTTGGTGTTGATTGAGCAATAGGTTTAACCATTTTTGTTATCCCCTGTCCCCCCCTCCCCAAAAGGAAAAAAAGAAAAGAAAAAGTTTTCTGTTACCCCTCCAATTTTAATGTTTTTCACTGTCCAAATATGTAAAGTTCATTTCTCACAAGCAAAACTTTCAAAGGATCTATAAGTACCGTTAAACCTTGAGAACACAGACATTGATGTATATTTAACCACCTTTAAGCGTTTATCCTCCACAAGACTGAAGTAGTCCCTTGCAATATCAACAATTACGGGGTCCAACTCCACCGCCTGAGATATAAATTAATAACAAGCCATGTGAAATCATATAAAATTATTCCTTAGACTAAACCGTTAGGGACTCTAGGTATGTATTCTAATTTAGTTCCCTCCCTTCACTTGAAATATATATATATATATATATATATATATATATATATATATATATATATATTGTAAAGAACCAATTCAACCCAAAAGCTTAAGCTGTTGGGTGAGGATTTTTTAATGGTTTTATATATCTCAACACGCCCCCTCACACGAGAGCCCACTGGGCTTGAAGAGTGGACAATGCACATGCCCACCTACTTGTGCGAAGAAAGAAATTCCACTAGAAAGAAAGTGAGGGGCGGTGAGGATCGAACCCGGTACACCGAGGCTCTGATACCATGCAAAGAACCAATTCAACCCAAAAGCTTAAGCTGGTGGGTGAGGATTTTTTAATGGTTTTATATATCACAACATATATATATATATATATATATATATATATATATATATATAACATATTACCTCAATTTCCAAACAGGGGATACACCCGTGAAGAAACATAGGAAGTAAACCTGCTCCAAGACCTAGTATTACTGCTTTTACCTGAGATATGCCATTAGTATGTATCAGCAATAATCAAAAGCAAAAAAATGTCTTAGAGCATGTAAAGAAATTTGGCATGTAATTAGCATATCTTAATAACAAGCAACTAAAACATACAACAGACCGAAGAGAGCGGATAAGATATCCTCACACGTAGATAATAAAAAGAGGATTTTAGGTATCTGTCCACATAGGTAGATATTTAATACTAGCGGGTTGTGTGTATATATATATATATATATATATATATATATATATATATATATATATATTGTAGCATGCACACCCTAATACTACTCATTATACATGTGCTTTAAGTCTAACAGATTATACATGCACTAGAAACATTTAATTCTAACACTCCCCTCAAGCCAGAACATATATGTCAATTGCATGCCTTCTTCCATCCTCCAAAACCAGGTGCACTAGTCTCTATTGTTCGCTGAACATTCTCTTCCTCTTCATGTCTTCAGATGTACTTACTTTATTCATTACCTTACTCTAAGCAAGGATAAGTTCACCATTCACAAAATCTCTTAAATGAATATTTCTTGATTACTTCTGACTGTAGACCGGCTTATCACTACCGCACTCCTGACTTTAAAATAGTCTCCCCCCCCCACAAAAACAAAAATAAATAAATACACACTGAAAATAAATACATACTGAACTTGCTTTGTCTGCTTCCTTCTTCTCATCTACTTTTTATATGCATCATGACATTGATACTTTGCTTCCAATTGGTCATTTTTTTTATCCAATACTTGTCTCGACTCCTCCCTTACTCATAAATCAATAAAGACCAAGATAGCAACTTGTTGATGCATCTATTTACCCAGTTGATCAACCAGTCAACCCTGTTGCTCCTAACTTAATTCCTAGCCCTCCTAGTGACTGATCACCTACTTTGTTGGACTCTCTTGCTCCTCTCCCTGCAGTGGAACTGCCTATAGCATTCTGCGAAGGTATTAGGCTTAATCATAACCTTAATTCTCTTTATGTTTGTCATTTGCATTATCATTGTTTATCTCATTCCTATTATGCCTTTATGTCATATTAGGCTTCTGTGTCAATACCTAAAACAACAGGTGAACCTCTATCCGATCCTGGACAGCAACAAGCTATGCTTCATGAAATAGCTGCTTTGCACTCTAGTAGTAGCCAAGAACTTGTCCCCTGACGTCCTAGCAAAACAATTGTTGGTTGTTGATGGCTTCACCGTTTAGACTATCAAGATTGGACCCAACAGAGAGGTTGACGATTTAAAAGCTCAATCGGTGGCCAAAGGACATACACATATATTCCACCTCAACAGTGAATGAGGAAATTCACAAAAAAATGAGGAAATCTTGGTTTAAAAAAGTTATTGATTATGAACAAGTAACCACTTGTAAATAAGTGATTACTCATTGTTAGAGTATATGTCATTGCATGTTTTTGAAAGCTGAACATGTGTTTGATGCAAATCGGTTTGCACCAGTGTTAATGTAACAGCACTGACAGAACTGTCAGGATTCTGCTGTGACAGAATTGGTTAGTTGTCAGAGGAGTTAGAACTCTTCAAGTTTGCAATTAATCAAAATCTCAGTTCCACACAGACTTCTTTCTCATTTTCTCTCTTTCTGTTCTCTTTCAATTTCTATCAGAGTTCACAAATAAGTGATTACCATTTTCCCACTTGTTGCCACGCTTTCCATGTAAGAAGATATTAACGCGAATCCTGATATAATCCCTGTATGATAAGAACTAGCCACATAGCCATGATAGACTGTCAAGTGGCTGCTTGCTCCTGTAACATTAGAGGAAAAAATATTAAATTGGCACGAGTGAAGTTATCAGCAATCAGCAAACATTGCAAAACTTGAATGGGAAAATATTGAATATTGTTTCTGAATAATACTGCACAATGTGCACATGAGTTTCAATCTAATATATAGATCTAAATAATTATTTTCCTAATATAATGACAAAACTAAGTTAACAGAATATTCTATAACAATTTATAGAGAATATCATGTGGTGAAGTGTGTTAGACTACTGTGGGACTTATTACAATAGTAAACTTCAAAAAAAAAAAAAAAAAAGAATGATTCTGGAATTGGAAAAATTCCATGAAAATTCAATAAATGCTAAAAATAAAATTAGTTTCATTCGAAATCATCTTTTGACACTAGAAAGGATTCAATAAAAGGGCAAATGATGAATACAAATCACCATCTTTTGACAGTAGAAAAAGTATATCTATTTAACAACGGATTGAAAAGTTTAGTTTCAATACTAGAGTATTATAAAATCTGATCCAAAATGGTTTTACAATAATTCCATCTCTAGCTTCCACATGAAATTCTTTACACCATCATGTGAGCAATGTCTAATTGAACCCTACACCAATGGCAATCAGACTAGGACACAATAATGATACCAATGTTTTGACAGGCACATTTACTGATGATTTACGATATAATTTCCAAAGAGCCTTCCAATACCTCTACATTGACTATAGATCGTTTGGATGAGATTTCCAATCAATACGAGGTTTAGCCTATTATCAGTGGCAAGTAAAGCACAGCAAAGAAGTATGCACAACTACACAGCTAACATAAAACATTGCCTACAACACCTTTTTTCCGAAAATAATTTGTTTTTATAGAGAAATAGAGGGAAAAATGCAATGAAAGAGATCCTCATTCCTCTTAATCTTATATAATAAATTAACAAACTAACAGGATTTGACAAGAGCATTGGAGCAAAATTTAAGGTAGCATCAGCAATGAACATAAAACGGTGATTTTAAATATACAGAAGGAAAGAGGAAAAAAGTTACCACCATTCCGTCTTTGAGATCCCCTTTTCTTAGATTTAGAAGATGAGTTGGTTTTCTTCCTCCCTGTCTCACCGACCGATTTGATAGGTAACTGTTCATCTTTCAGCAGAGCTTCAGACTGCACCAAATTTGCAGCTCTGTCGAATACAAGACGTCGAAACACCAACTCTCTAGAAGGAAAAATACAACTGAGTTCACTATCAACATTTTCATAAACTACATCTTCAACAATAATTGATCCAGTTAATGAAGATGTGACCTGCAAAACACAGATAATTATTGATGATATAATGATAATACGAGGATCATTTAATACAAGATGAGCATGATATAAAAAGTGGAAATCACGAAAGCAAAAGACCAGTGAATAAATACCTTTTAATTATTATTGATGAGGGCTGTTCTTAAAATATTAATAGAATAAAGGGACAAGAGACACTCTAATAGATCTATAAAGTTGGGGGGGGGGGGAGGGGGTAAAAGGATGAAAAATCAATTAAGAACATGAGCTCAGTACAACACTCCACACTCTCTAAAGTCAATGAAGAACCCACAATGAAACCAAGGCTGAACACCATAAAAAGAAGCCAAGTAAGTAGTTAAGAATGATATTTCTTGTAGAATACTTGAGTTAATCTTCATAAATATACACCAGAAGTATTGATAGAAAAGAAAGATACGAAGGGAAAAAAGGAACAGTAAAGAAAAGGGAAAAGACAACATGGAGAATACAAAGTTTAAGGAGAGAAATGGGAGGATCAGAAGGAGAATGACAATCAACCAGCAATAGTATTTTTTTATAAAAGAAAATTTTATGCAAGGAAAGAAACAGTATAAAAAAGGCAGAGACCTGTGTAAGGAAATTTCAGCAAAATTAATGTAATGAAGCACTAGCAAGTTCAAAGGGTAGGAAGAAGCACAAAAAATAAGTCAGAATAAGCTGGGAATTAGCTAAAATACAAAGAGAAGAGATTAAACTTAGCTAAGATACACATAGCAGTGATTAAACTGAACTGAACTATATAAGCTTAATTAAATAAAGCATCTATAAGCAGAGGTTGCATAAAACAAATTCACATTCAAAGCATTCTTACAAAACTAACAACTATTAAAGGATTTATACAACTCAAAGCATTAAAATAAAAAATAACAAGATTAAAAGCACTCACGTTAGAAATAACCTACACTCAACAATCAAAACTGTAGAGAAAGAGAATGCAGTGTGTTTGTTACCCTCTCTTCTAGATTATTTATACTGAGAGCTCCATGAGAAAGAGACAAATGTCTATAATGAGCTTGGACATATCACTCATTCAGATCACTTTGCATGATTTCTGATGTGAGTCAATCATGTAGCATAAAACATCAGGCATGAAATCTGCAATATTGTCACTCATTTTTTTTTTTTTGCATGAACCTAGATAGGAATAACTAAATCACAGTTGCATGACGACATGGAACCCACTCCCAAGAGAAAAAAAATGAAGAAGTAGAAGTAGTAGTAGAAGAAGAAGAAGAAGAAAGAAACAGAGAGAGAGAGAGAGAGAGAGAGAGAAAGAACAAAATAGGAACCTTACCAATTACCAAGCATCTAAGCAATCATCTAAACCAACCACTAGATCACAGAAAGAAGCATTAGGCTTTCCCCCCAAAGAAAAACCTAAATACACAAGGCGCCACAACAAAAGATAGCAAACCCAGCCAGCATCACACAACAATCCAAAAGAATGAAGCATTAGAGTTTGACTGGGATTAGAAGGTGTGAAAGTTCTCTCCAAAGCTTCAGCAGGACTTTACACCCCCATAAAATACCTCCTGCATCCTTCCATTTAAATACAAGACTTGAGTTGAAAAAGTTAAGAGCGCTGGCACCTGGTCCTATGTTGACTAACAACCTATGTGACTGAATCAAGCACAATTCACACAAAACCATAACAGAACAGAATATCGCAACTCTCTAGAAACCCTAGTGGAAATCCACAGCTCCCTCTAAGGTCAAGTCTTCGATTGGGACTGCGGTACACAGAATTAATACTAATGACAAGATGCAGATGTGTAGGCCGCATATGGCTCTTTTGCTTGATATGTGTATAATGTGTTGTACTTACCGAGAATCATTTCCCGACCAGTTCCTACATTTTTCTGCTACAGTTTCTGATGCACCCGAGCTGACTCGCTTGGATTGGACATTTCCATAATTTATTTCTTTATTTAGGGGATTTTAATAATTACTAGTTATTTCCTTTTTGTTATTTAAGATTATGTTTGAGTGTGCGTTGATTGTGCGTTATCTCCTTTGATTGCGCATGATTATAGTTATTTACTTTTTTTGTTATTTTTGTTTTTGCCTATTTAAGGCTTGGAGAACCCTATTGTTATTAGGTTGTTTTTTGGTTAATAAAAATTAAGAAAAGAGAAATAGTATTTTCTCACAATCCTTGTATTTGTTTTTACTTTTGTTTAGCCAAATTGGTTACTGCTCCGACATTATTTGGTAATCAGAGCTCTGGTTGTCACATAAATGGCTGAACAGAACAATGGCGGTCGAGGTCGAGGTCATGGACGACGGGGTCGAGGCGACGGCGGCGATAGAGGGCATGTTAACACCCTTAACGTCGACGGCAAACAACCACACATTGACGTGCGACACACCATAATTGTAGCAATGGCTGCTACATTGGCAGAACATGGTAGGCGAATTCAGGAGCTCGAACAACTATTTGCCCAAACACAGTTGGACGAGTCAGATGAAGGAAGGGAATCTGAAAGATCATCTCATGAGGAGGAAAGGAGCAAAAACTCATTCTGGAATTGGAATGAGGAGGGACAAGGACGAAGTCAACCTCGAAATCAATCTTTTTTTGCTAATATTGGGGTGAAGATTGAGATCCCGGAATTCGAGGGCACCACTCATACAGATGAGTTTATCAACGGGTCACACACCATCGAAAAGGTCTTTGACATCATAGACTTGACAGAAGACCGGAAGGTCCCGATCTATGATGAATATGATGAAGAGCAAGATGGTGAGAATCTTGTTATGGATGCTCTAATTTATGACGAGTTCCCTATCTACGATAAGTATGATTGGGAGCAAGACGATGAGAATCCAAAGATAGAAGAAATCTCTTATATTAATTTCGGTGGAAAATCAGTTATTAGAAATTCTAATATCTCTGACGACAAAGATGAAGTTCTACCCCAGTATTATGAATTTGGGGACAACGAGCATAACAGCCTCATGCTCCATGGAGATAAAGATTTAACTTTTGATAAAAGTTTAATTGGAGATCGTCAGGGACAATGGGAATTACTGTTACATCAGACAAAAATTTCCAAAGACGGATCACAGATGCGATCATTGAACCAAACTATGGGCAATAATCCTTTTGGAATAGTTTATGGGTTTTGTCCAGTTACTCCCTTAGAAGAACTCACAATATTTCTAGTTCCCAAGCAGTTCAATACGAATGCAGGCGAGCGTATCAAGAAAGAATTGCATTCACAAGTCCTAATCTTAATTAGGGAATTTGGTGATATTGTACTAGAAGAATTGCCACCTGGGTTACCACCTGAAGAAGTTCATATCAATGAAGACGAAGCAGATTTGAGGGCGAATCTTTTTCAAGTGGGAGAGAATGATGCACCCGAGCTGACTCGCTTGGATTGGACATTTCCATAATTTATTTCTTTATTTAGGGGATTTTAATAATTACTAGTTATTTCCTTTTTGTTATTTAAGATTATGTTTGAGTGTGCGTTGATTGTGCGTTATCTCCTTTGATTGCGCATGATTATAGTTATTTACTTTTTTTGTTATTTTTGTTTTTGCCTATTTAAGGCTTCGAGAACCCTATTGTTATTAGGTTGCTTTTTGGTTAATAAAAATTAAGAAAAGAGAAATAGTATTTTCTCACAATCCTTGTTTCGTTCTTCTTTCTGTTTAGCCAAATTGGTTACTGCTCCGGCATTAGTTTCTTTATGGAATTCCTTATTCGGCATTTTTGGGGAATGTACTAGATCCCTAGACCAATTCTTGATGATTAGCTTTTATGGTCTTGGTAGAAGAGGCTAAATTGCTGTGGTAATGTCCAACCTATGCTATGTTTTGGTGCATTTCGTTGAAGGATAACTCATTTTCTAGGACATTTCTTTGGTAGAACATTTGATTAGGGATAACATTATGCATTGAATTTCTAATTAGTGTAAAGCACATGGCATTTTTAATGGGATCTCACTACCATATATGATGACAGATTGGGCAGCTTTGCTTTGCTCCATTGAATTTCCTTTTCTTCTTGGTTATTTTCTGCTTTCTTCTTTTATTTAGGAGGATCCTTATCCTCCCTTCTCTCTGTAATTTTGTCTCTTCATATTGCTGAATTTTTTATTTTATTAAAATAAAAATTAATAAACAACAACAATCCTCCCTTGAAACTAAGCAATGAAGTAATATGGAATCCATTGTGCTCAAAGTTACTTTTATACACTGTAAAATCAGATTGCTAAAAAGCACCCTCTTCTCCCATGTTGTATATTTAAAATACAAGGATTAATTGCAGTCCAAATTAAGAGTCACACAGCCCTCACAGACAGAGACAGAGTTCCATTGATCAAAATAACAACAAAAAAGAAACAGCATTATGTACATTGTCACTAACCTGGTGAACAATGTTTCGTTCCTTGATCCCCTCACTTGCCATCATGAAACTGTAGACATATATTCAAGAATTTAAGAGAAAAGATTTAATTCATGAAGTGTATAAGTATGAGAACAGCATCTATAAAAAACTGGCTTAGACTGTAGTAAAAAGTGTAACACATAGCGGAACATGTTTCAATATTTTGGCATTAATAGATTAACAGAATATAATGAATATTTAGATTCAAACTGTTCAAAATGGAGGAAAATCACATAAAAGCAACTGGTACAAGATACGGACGGTATTTGAGCTCCATTCTCATTTTCTGCAGGTGCCAACTGTTTAACCAAAGGAGACAAATCTTTCTGAAAAATGATAAAAAAACACAATTCAGTAAAAAGCAGTGTTGTTAACCTGTTAGAATAGCATACCCCAAGAAGCATAATTTAAGAGGATGTTTCTACCTGAATCTCATCCATGCTGGCATTTGTATGGCTGGCATCCAAGAAAACCTAAAGTTGCAGAGATTTACTTAGAAATTTCAATTAGAAAAGTAAAGTAAAAATACTCAAAAGTACCAGCAAACTGTAATGTTATAATAAAGTACCATTATGAGACGAGCTGCTTTGGAGCTTCTGACCACCATCCACTGTCCTTCTTCAGAAAAGAAAAGCCATTCCCGAGCACGAGTCTGAAATTTAACATTCAGTCATGAAATTGATACAGAATAACTGCATCATTTGGAGCACTAGTAGTAAATTGCAGACGGATATAAAAAAAAGTAGATTCTGTGCAATCTCCTATACAAATGCATATTGATGAACATCTTAATCCAAAACAAATAAAATAAAATTACACGAAAGAAAAATAAATAAAGGAAGAACATAAGAAATGCAAGAAACTCTGTCTAGTATCAAAAAATTAACCAACCAGTATCCTTATAGTCTTGTATAATAACAATTAATGTGATCCTAAATGCATCAGAAACTACATCTAAAGAATTAAATAAAACAATTACACTTTGATCATTTCCAATATGAACAAGCTTGAGGCCAGTAAGAATTGAAATAAGAAAACTTTTTTCTCGGATAATTTGAAAATAACAAATACAGAACTGGCCATGATTCTTCCTAGTTTCAAAAAATATTTTCAGCAGCAGATTACAATTAAATGCAAATTGGCCATGATTGTTTCTCTTCTGATAATTATTTCCCATTTATTCAATTGTTAACACCATCATGCATGAATCTGAAGTGAAGGATCACTAATTCAATGTGAAATTTAAGAGCTGACATACTAAGAGAAATTTTTTCTTGATATAAAGTTTGTAGGAATGCTTGAACAGAAAGCTAAAAGGGATCTCCAATAATACACACCTTGGGCACAATGAAAACCCCACAGTGATATGTAAATGGGTCAGACTGTTCCTCAGCATCAAGAACTACAGCTCTATAAGAAAAAAGAGAGCACCCTTGTCCACCCAAAGTTAGCTGCAATCGCCGACCTTGGGAAAGCTTTTTCAGTTCTTCTTGCAGATCTTCCACAGAGTATAATATATCAGAGCTACTGGAGTATTTTTCACGAATTTGATTCTCATTTTTAAGAGCTTCATGTAGTCCAGAAGTCTTCAACATATGACAAAACAAAGCATAAACGGAAGACAATAAAAAATATGCTAGTAATAGAATATGTATAAAACATCTTACAAAATCTTCAGAGTATCTTTAGAATATCATGCATATATTATAGGATTAATTAGTCCTTTAACAGAGGAGCAATCTTAGGAGTTATCCCAAATTTTATTATGTTTCCTAACCTTTTACCCTAATTTGATTAGGGTTGGGAGTCTTATTGCATTGGTGGGCTTGGGCTCATAAAGGTAGTCCTACCCAATACTTGACCTAATTCTCTGTATAAATAGTATTAGAGCTTACTATTTTACACACATGAAATCAATTCAATATCACAGTATTCAGAGCCTCTTTTGTCTCTATACCTATTCCCTATTTAAACCCTACAACTTCAATAAAAATTACCACCCATTCTCTACAGCCATAACATTTAACACACTAGCTATAGTGCTATATATGCAGCAAACAGATGTTACATTAATCATCCATGAATCCTTATTTTAAGAAATCACTTATGCCCATGAGCAATTGAACAAAAAGCAGCAGAATCGGCTCAGATAGTACCTGTTTTGAATTACAATGAAGCGACGAATTATGAAGTAATGATATAATTTGGTGCAATAAAGTAGACAGCTCCTTCTCCACAACCACCATGAATGTTTGAAGGCTAGGTTTACTAGAAGACTTCAAAGGTATGGCATCAACACTCATTTTCCAACCAAGTCGGAACTTTGAGAAAAGTAGACCTGAAAAGCACAAATTAGTTATCTTTACCCTCCAGCCATGCAAAACCAGGCCAAAAATAAAAAAAAGATCAAATGCAAAACCAGTTCCAGCAAATCATTTCATTGCAAGTAATTAAGCTCCCTGTCTAGGTGCACTACAATCAATTCAAAAAGAAATTAATATAACATACAATAACTTCTGTGATAACATGTTCTTTTAAGTTAGAGATCCAGGAGATAGAAGGCGTTTTGTTCTAAAAAGTTTATAAGGGTTAGAAACCCCAAAACATAAACTGCGAGTGCATGTTCAAAGGAGTTTGGAAAATGAGTACCCAATATGAATCCTCTTCCGTGTATCAGTAAGGACTTTTGTGGCTAATACATAAGGGAAAGCTTGAATAGTGAGTACCACATATGAATCCTCTTCCATATATGTCTTGCGGCTAACACATAAAGGAGGTGGATTCAGGGCTATCTGATGTACAATATGAAAAAAATATAGAAACATTTTATCTATTAAAAGAGTCATGTTGTTAACAAGCAGGGGAAGTAATTTTTCCCATGATTCGAATGAGTTGTGCTACTCCTAAAACAATGAAGGAGTCAAGGGAAACTATTTTATGCAAAAAAAACCAGATTCAATTAGTGGAACATGTATCTTCAGAGTAATATTTGCATTTCTAAATGGATAACTTAATCTGGGGTAAAGGAAGACAAAAACTTGTGCAATTGAAACAAGCACCATGTAATCAAACGAAAATACCATCACAGCCCGGTAGTGTTTTCAGTTATATTTTCTACATATCACAAATTTTAAATTTTATAATTTATGGAGAGAAAGAAAAATTGAGAAAACATACCTAGTACATGAGATTCAGCCAAGGTAAGGCACACGAACTTTCCCCCAGGCTTTAGAACTCTCTTTACCTGGAAATATAAATCAGATTAAGCTAACAAGCACAAAATATTGAAATCCCACCACCAACAGGTCTATATTATTATCTATAGAAACAGATAAAATCCGAGAAACCTCTGACAGATACTGATTTCCCAATTTTGGACCAAGCTCTGGCTCCATTAAAGCATCCAATCCACCTTTATCAATAATGGCATCAAACGTCTCATCTTCAAACTGCACAGTGGTAGCCAAAGGACAAGAATAAAAACCATAGTGTAAAGAAATTGAGACAAAAAGCTAATTGTGAAAGAAATGAAAGGAACAAAACACAGTGGGGAAGATAAAATATAAATATCCTCCAAATATACATCATTGAAAATGAGAGTGAAATTTAAACACATGATATTTTCTCCAATCCAAGATTCATAAGTGTAAGAGTGTACTAGATTGTATCCTATCGTGACGGTGTGACTGTTACTCACAGTCACTGTCAGTCACAGCTGGTAATCGCAGCATTACCAAGCCTCTGATCAGTTAGGTAGTTAGCAGTCCGTTAAGTTCTCATGTAATCTGTTACTGCTGACATGGCCATTCTGTTAACTTCTATCATGCCTAACTAACTCTGTGAATAGGTCTCTGTACTCTCATTTTCAGTTTTTCTCTCTTACTCTGTTTCTCTCTCTTCTCAGTTTGTCGCCTCTTAATGATTAGAATACTCTTTCTACAAACATAAATCTTTGAACCAAGACAATGGAGAATGGGAATTCACCTGCATGGCGGTCACGTCCATGACTCGCCAGCGCATGTCCGGGCGGTGGCGGACGTTGCGGCGGAGCATGTCGGAGATGACGACCTTGGAGAAATCGATGTTGGTGATGGAATTGTAACCGGCGTCGTAGAGATGCTCGGAGAGGCGAGAGTTACCGCAAGCAGGAACGAGCAAGTGAAGATGTTGAAGGTTGAGGAGGGTTTGGAGTTGGGAGAGGAGTGGGTCTCGGAGGTCAGGCCATTCAGCGTACCACTCGAAGGAGTCATCTACACCTCGAATGGTGAAGAACTTGTCCCAGTTCTCTTTGCTCGTGAAGTCTCCTAGGGTTTCCAGAAGATCCTCTGATACACCCTTCGATCCCATTCCTTCTACTGTCAATGGCAGTGAGTCTGTGAGTGGGTTTTACAAGGGTATATGTTTGTATGTGTATTGTATTGGTCCTTTTTCACTTCACAAAGAGGATTTTATTAGGCCATCATGACTTTAGGGCATATAAACTCCACATCCAATTAATTGTGTGAACGTTAAAATTTCCGTGTGCCATTTCATGTAGTAATTCCATTGAACTCAGATGCTATATACTAACAACACCTTTTTTTTCATTTTTAAAGCGTCACTTGACTCACTCCCCAATATTTCGACACTTTTCAATAATTTGATATGTTTTGATATTTATAATATTTGAAATTTTATTATATATAATAAAAAATTGATTGATGTTTTATCAAATTAATATAATAAAAAATAAAAATAGATACAGAATAAATCTCAATGAAATGCATAAGAAATTTTCAAATTAAAAATATAATTATAAATATTTATATGTTAAGTTTCTTTGTAAAATTGATTAGTATTATAAATTTAGTTTTTTTAATTATTAAATATAATATATACTACATAAATTAAAATATTATTTAATATCAAAATATGTTCTAACATGTCGAAATCTCATTTTTTTTATAATTAACATGTCAGAGTATCATGTTATGTCATGTCGCTTCTCGTATTCTCTATCGATATCAGTGCAACATAGCTCACATATGGTAGTTCTAATCATTTCACATTATACACTAAAATCAAAACAAACCAAATAAAAATCTATTGATAACTAAACAAATATGATTTCTCATAAATAAATTTATATTTTTAACATAATTAAATTTTGTGAAATTTATATATGAAAAATATTTATTACAATTTGGAGTTTGATGGATGTGGGTTTAAATTTTTGTCCTGACAAATATTTTTTCTTGAATTTATCATATTTATTTTGGAGTTAATTTAATTCTTCCTACTCAAACTTTTTAATAAAATATTAATTTATAATTTAATAATAATATACATAAGTTTACATTTATTTTAAAGGAAATATAATCGTAAAAAATTGACGAATAATTGATTTGGACAAATAACAGGGTTAATAAATTAGTAACTTGACCACTATACGCGTGTTGCATGGTAAATACAAGGCGCAAATTGGTCAAGTGTTAATCCATAAGGAGGTTGGATGCTCTTCTTTCTGGAAGGAAATATGCAAGATAGCATAGTTTGGGAAATCGAAGATGGGGAGGCAATTTCTTTTTGGAAGGACAAGTGGATGAGACCCTCTATTTGCCTTTTGGGTTATGTTTGAAGCAAAATTGACGGATTGCCGACTCAATCAAGTGGCTAGGCATGATGGTAAGTGAAATTACAACACACTACTACAACTTTTCGATTTTGAGGTGGTTGAAAAGATCAAAAACATACTCCATCCTGATATGCTTGACGGCCCAAATAGAAGCTTATGGTTATTGGGTGGAACATCTGTAGTACAGGTCAGTAATTGCTATCTATATCTTACAAAATAGTCTTTTCAGCTTAACAATATTTCAGAGGTGGTTTGGAACAAGTTGTGGAATTGCAAAGGGCCTCACCGGATTCAAATGTTCTTTTGGAGATTAAGGCACGAAAGTTTGCCTACCAAAGATTGGACCAACTCGTGGTCCACAGCAGACCTATTATGCCCAAATTGTGATTAGGAAAGGGAGTCTGTGATACATGTCTTCCGAGATTGCCCGGTGATCCATGATATATGGTACAGTCTCTTGCCATATGATAGACTAGCTAAGTTCTTTGATGCCAATTGGGAGGATTGAGTGATTGATAATTGGAGTTGTGATGCCATGGCTTTGGAGGGCTTTGTTTGGAGTTCATTGTTTATCGTTTGTTGTTGGTTTATTTGGCGCTGGAGAAACGAAGTCACCAATGCTAGTGCTTCCAACGGGGACCGACACATTACTCGACCAATACTTGAGCACTTGAAAGAGATCCAATGTGTCTATACAGACACAAAGTTAAGGCTGCACCTCCAAGTTTCTAAGAATGTGAGTTGACAGCCCCTTTGACTTCATATGTTAAATTAAATACAGATGGAGCTTCAAAGGGTTAAATGACCACGGCAGCTTGTGGAGGACTTCTACGTGACCAAATGGGACTTTGGCTAGGAGGGTTTGCTGCAAGAATTGGATAATGTAATGCTTTACAAGCGAAACTATGGGGTGCATTTAAAGGGCTGAAGTTAGCTTGGGAGGCAGGTTACAAAAATGTTTTAGTTGAAAGCGACTGTCAAATAGTCATTGCATTAGTTTTCAAGGAAGAAGACAACGAAGCTCGTGAGCCCCACTTAGTGACTCGAATATAAGCATTTGTTCATCATCGTCAATGAAATGTTCGATTTATGCATATTCTACGGGAAGGTAACAAGTGCGCAGACTGGTCGGCAAATTATCTGTTGGTGCACCTGGAGCTACCTGACGAGGCTCATTTTGTTGACCCCCAAGACTATGATGTCATCTCCAGACTGATAGTAGGGGTATGATTTTTGCCAGACATATGTAGACTCGTTAGAAGTTCCCCTATTTTTTTATTTTTCTCTGTGTTTCTTTTTCTTTATTTTTTATCTTTACTTTAATGTATCAAAAAAAGGAAAAAAAATTATTAACATTTAAAATGATCTTAACCCTTGAATTAGTCTAAGCAAAGCAGACAAATCATTAATTTAATGCAACTATAGTTTATAAGTAATATTTTTTATAACCTAGACTTATATATTCAAATAACAAAGGCTTTAAATTCATTGCATAAATTTTAACGAAAAATTATTACATGTTTATTTTAATTTAATCTTGATATACAAATATTTAGTTGAAAACTTTATGGTAACTTTTTGTTTGGGGGGGATGTTTGGGTGAAAGCTATAGTAACCTTTTAACTAATGTAAGATTTTCAATTTATATATTTATATAAGATTCTCAAATATATAAATTAATCAAAACACACGATAACCATGTAAAAACGATAATAAGATTAAAAGAACATGTATGTTTGAGGTATTATAATGTAACTGAGCTTTTATTTTTTAATATATAAACTTTGAATTAAATAAACCTAAAAAAAGAGAGAATTATGAAAAGTACTTAAACTATAATAACAAATTTTAAATGATTACATCTTACATTTTTTTTTCAAAATTTTTCATCTTTATTCATTTTATCTATTAATTTTTAAATTAAATTTCTTGTTTACCACAGGTCACAGCCATGTTATAGCATATGATCTTGACCAAATGAACTATAAAGGTAAAAATAAAAAATACTTACTTTTACGAAACTGAAAAGTAAGTATAAAAAATAAAAATGTTTTTAAATATTTCAAAAAATAAAAAATAAAAAATAAAAAATAAAAAATAAAAAATAAAAGAGAAATATCCAAATAAAGTTATACTGATCCAAAATTTCAACCATTACTCAGTGCCATTGGACTCCGAGCGAGAGATCAAGCAGTGAAGGTGCTTCACACAGGTAATTAACTTTCATAATCATTCTTCTAATTTATTTTCTTTTGAATTTATTTATTTTTATTTTTGAATCTGAACTGAACGATGAAATGACTGAAATGTGTAATGCTCTGTTTATGTTAATGGCTTGAATGGATGTATCACTGTTACTTTTACTCTTTCCGTTCAGTGGTGATTTTATTTTGTGGTGTGTTCTGATTGGTTTTTTCTCTCCCGATGCGTAGTTGATTGCCCATAAACTGTTCGATTAAATGTCGATGTTGTACCGAACCTTCCCCAGCTTGTATCCTTAAAAATAAAAGAACTTATGGGTTTGGGTGGGGACTTTAAACTTTGATTCTAATCACTCTAATTTTGTTGTTGGTTATAGTTTAATCGCAAGATGGGAGAGCTGGTTACTGAGAAACATGTTCAATATATATTGTCAGTTGAAAAGGTATGCTTCCCATTTATATATTTTTTCTAAAAAGAAAAGGGGGGAGATAGATCACCTTGAGTGGATGTATCATGATGACTTGAAAACTCTTCTTTTCTGTTTAAAAAGCTTAGTGTGTTCAGTTTTTTTTTTTTTTTTTTTTAGAGGAAAGATGATTTTGAATCTGTGGTAATGGAGCATCTAAGAATGAATGGCGCATACTGGGGATTGACTGCTCTGGATATTATGGGAAAGCTTGACACTGTGGATGTTGATGAGGTTGTTTCATGGGTGTTGAGTTGTCAGCACGAGTCAGGTTGTTCAATGTTTTGTTTGTTCCCTTACTATTAGAATTAATTTTTTTTAGATATTATTGACATCGATAATTTCTTATCTTATGAGATATTCGATGTTATGCAGGGGGATTTGGTGGAAATGTTGGACACGACCCACACATCCTGTATACACTAAGTGCTGTGCAGGTTCTGGCTCTCTTTGATAAGCTGGATGTTATTGATGTAGATAAAGTGACAAATTGTATCCTGTGACCACATATTGGCTGACTTTGAAGGATCTATATTGACAAATGTTCTTTGGTACAGAAGAAGCTTTGTTCTTTTTGCAAAAATATTTTAATTGTTATACTTATGTTTGCTTATCAGGATGTGTAGCTTTAGTTGGCCATATACTTTGATGTTGTGCTTAAATGGCTTAATATGTTTTATAAAAAAATGTAGAAAAAGATATCTTGTGTATTTTATTTCAAATGTACAGAAGTCTCTGCATATAGGAGAGACATGCATATTATTGGGAGCATTAAGGAAATAAATCCGTAAAAGTCAGGAAGCTATTAAACAGATTGTTCTATCTTTGGAAACTAATGAGCCGATCTACTAATTACAGAATATCAATGAGCTGGCCTGCTAACTATAGAATATTTACAATAAGTAAAAGAGGATATGCTCAAACCATTGAGATATTATTCTAATTCACAAAAATCACAAAAAGTAAATAAAAAAAAGTTTGCCGTGAATTTTGATACAATTTGATAGATTAGTTACTAAAATTATAGTAGTGAAATTTAATTAACTACGAAGTATACTGGATCTTGTGTTTCTTAATATTTTTGTTAGATATTGTCAGTCTGCAAAATGAAGATGGATCTTTTTCAGGGGATATGTGGGGTGAAGTTGATACGCGGTATTTTTCTTAATATCTTGTTTGATTATTGTGCATGTATGATCTTACTGTAACTTTGACTAAAATCCACTGAATTATCTGTCTCAGGTTCTCTTATATTGCTATTTGTTGTCTATCAATATTACATCACTTGGATAAAATCAATGTGGAGAAGGCTGTGAAGTACATTATAAGTTGCAAAAATATGGATGGTGGTTTTGGTTGCACACCCGGTGGGGAATCTCATGCTGGACAAAGTACGTTATATATTATTCATGAACTTTACTTAGATATTACTTTCTGTATGTTACTCAATGTGTGTATAATACAATAAGGGCAAGCAAGATATTTAAGCGGGTGTATGAAAGAAGGAGAAATAAGGGATTATTTATTAATGCTGAGCTGACTCATCATAGAGTCTGTTAGCCAGGGTACGAGTTAGTTAGGAGGTTACACATCGAGTGGGGGAGTATTTGAGAGGCGCATCACGCTAGAGGAAAACATTCTGGAAGCTTGGAATCTGATTGGATTTTGGGAGAGAACCAGAGCCTCTCGAACTGCTCTGGGTGGTTCAGTTTTGCTGCTTTCTTCCCATTGTTGTTCTTCTTCATTGTCATTTTCTTCACAATGTTGCTGTCATAGTGACTGTTCTACTTTCAGCTCTGAGATACTGTACTCACAAGCTTCCAGTTCAATACAAATTTCCTTCTATCAGTTTAAATTCTTGTCTTATTGTTGGTTGGTTGTATCAGTGTACTTTTATTCCCTTTGAAGATTGTGTTGTTTACTTCTTTCCCACATGAAGGGAGTGTTTTATGTGGTTAGGGCATAGTTTGACTATGTTGTTTGAAGTTATGGATACAAGAATCTGTTTTCTCCTATGCAGCACTGTTCGAGGGGGCTAAAATAATATTTTCATTAAGAGAACTTTTTTTGTGGTTTAAATCTTGGGATTAGGGTACACTGGAGGTACATAACATGTTTAAAAGTTGTATTACTTTGAGTTAGTATTTTCCTGACAAATTAAATAGTGAGCATTGCAGCATACCTTTAACCTTGAACTCGTTAACAAGCTTCTACTGAACTTGTTAACTATATTATCCTTGCCATTTAGTAGTTATTGAAAAAGGTTTTCAGTATATCGATATTGAATAATTACATGAGGAATGAGGAGTATTTATACAAGAAAAAATAGCTAAGCATGACTCAGCTATGACTCACCAAACCTAATCACAATCATAAGAATGACTCAGCTATGACTCACTAAACCTAATCACAATTAATTCTAATTAATTACAATTAATCCTAATTAATAGGAAATAAAAACGGAAAAATATTTGAATTTGAATTCTGATTTTCTACACTCCCCCTCAAGTTGGGAGGTAAATGTTGATCATTTCCAACTTGCCAATCAAGTCTTCAAAGGCTGGCCGGTGTAGGCCCTTAGTGAGAATATCTGCAATCTTCTCTTTGAAGAAATGTTTAGCTAATCAGTTTGTACTGAAGGATCTTGGATCTCTCAAATATTTCCTAGGCATGGAAGTTGCTCGAAGTAGTGTATCCCAAGATTCTTTAACATGGTATCAGAGCCTCGCCAAAAGCTAGCTCAAAGGGTGGGAGTGCCCAAGACCTTATAAACTCCACATTAGTTGCACATACAACCAATGTAGGACTATATATCTCAACACGCCCCCTCACACGAGAGCCCATTGGGCTTGAAGAGTGGACAATGCAACAGGCCCAGCCTACCTGTGCTAAGAAACGCCACAAGAGAAAGTGTGGGGCGGCGAGGCTCTGATACCATATTGAAAAAGGTTTTCAGTATATCGATATTGAATAATTACATAAGGAATGAGGAGTATTTATACAAGAAAAAATAGCTAAGCATGACTCAGCTATCACTCACCAAACCTAATCACAATCATAAGAATGACTCAGTTATGACTCACTAAACCTAATCACAATTAATTATAATTAATTACAATTAATCATAATTAATAGGAAATAAAAACGGAAAAATATTTGAATTTGAATTCTGATTTTCTACAGTAGTAGTATTTGATACATTCTATTGTATTTACTGTTCACTCAAGATATGCATATAATAAAACAATTTTTTTAATCAGTGAATGCTTGGCTTAATAAGTCTGCTTTGACCTTTCTATTTTCTGAATTTCAAATGAAAGAATGAAATGAGTTGTAGACTTGAAGCATCCTCGTAAGAAATTGCCTTTCCAATTTTCAGTTTTCTGTTGTGTGGGGGCCCTTGCTATAGCAGGGTCACTTGATCTTGTTGACAAGGACCTACTTGGTTGGTGGTTATGTGAGCGACAAGTTAAATCTGGAGGTCTGAACGGGCGTCCTGAGAAACTACCTGATGTAAGTAAATCTTTTCAAATTTAGATAAAGCTTTAAATGCCCCTGTTGTCTTTCTCAGTTTCTCTTACTAGCTTTTAGATCATCTCAGGTGTGCTACTCATGGTGGGTTCTTTCTAGCCTGATCATGATTGATAGGGTTCATTGGATCAGTAAGGAGAAGCTTATAAAGTTTATCTTAGACTGCCAGGTTATTTAGTTGAATTTCTTTTCTGTGTTTATAATCAGCATGCTCTTGTTTCTTCTTTTGGAGTATTAACTGTTGTGAGGTTAGTATTTCTGAAATATTATGTATGTTGAAATTGTAAGGACACAGAAAATGGTGGAATTTCAGACAGGCCAGATGATGCCGTGGACGTCTTTCATACATACTTCGGGGTGGCTGGTAGTTTAACTGTCTTTTTGCCCCTCTTTTTTGTACCATTTGTTCTTGATCTTTTTGTGCTAAAAATCTTGTCATCTGGTGTTTCCTTGGTTGGTGAGGGAACCAACCAACCAAAGTTTCCCTTTATCATTGAGATTAAATGGTAGTGACCAGTGACCAGTGACTTCATTCAGTCACCCTCTTTCAAAAGAGAGACGAAAAGCCATTCTTCATGAATCCTCGTGAATTTCTGTTGCTAGCTTCATGTTCCTATAAGATTAGTCATAGTAGTTCAACATGCTTATGATGATACAATAGAACTGGATACGTGAACTGTTATTTGTAGAAAAGCAGAGTATAGATTTTCTTTGTATCTTTTTGTTGTTCATGAAAAAGGTGACTACAATTTAAGGGTGTTGCCCACACACAGAATTGGCCAATCAAATCCCATGATTTTAAGAAATAAAACTAGAATTATTTAAATAAGAAAACAGAATATTTCAATGTTGACTTGCTTATGGGCATTATCAACTCAAGCTAGGAAGAAAAAAATAAAATAAAATAAAATAAAATCTGAATGGATCATGTGGAGAATCAGACGTGATTGACAACATTATTCTATTTTTATTTCAGTTGTTTGGAAGGTTTGAAATGAGGACATATGTGAATTATGATTTATGAGACTTGTTGTTCTACGTTATTATATAATTCTTTGTCCCTCACCTTTTTCCCCTTTATAGTGTTGATTCAGTGTAAACTAGTATTGGATGTAACTTAGCGAGACATTCTTATTTATCCTTTCCTGACAGTGCAGTTCCTTTCATATTCCTTTTGTACAATAAACTCAGGATGCTGATGTTGTTTTGTTTGTTCTTTCAGGACTTTCACTTCTTGAATATCCAGGATTGAAACCGATTGATCCAGCTTATGCTTTACCGGTTGATGTTGTAAACAGGATTTTCTTTGATAAATAGGGACTTGAAGTTCAACGACAGTAATCCAGTTGCGACAAGTTCTTGAGTTTAGACTCACTCTTCGGAGTTGGATATAATCCCCCCCCCCCCCCCCCCCCCCCCTGTATAATAAATCATAAGATTTGTAATTCTCCTTTAGAGTTTATATCTATTTTCCTGTGAATAACTTCAACATTTTGAGCATCTTTTACTTAAATTTGAAACACGCAGTTTAATTAAAAAAAGAAAAAAATAAACTTCATATGAATTTGCCTTCCAAAACAGAGGTCGAAGAACACTTCTGCCATCTCTGTCCTCCTCTCCCATCGTTTCTCTCTCTCTCTCTCTCTCTCTCTCTCTCTCTTCATTTTTCTCCATTATTACTTCCTTTTATTAACTGCAATGAGAAACTATTTTTTCCTTTTTTTTAATTTTATAAGCAAATCATGGGGTGATTTCGAGGAAATGATTTTGGAAGATAATGTGGGTGGTAGAAAATTCAAGCTGGATGCAGGAAATGATTACGAGGATGGGGATTAAGAGGAAATAATTCTGGAAAGCACATGAACATTATGATGAAGGAAGTGTAGTCTTGAGAACTTAGAGATCAAAATCTTGTATTTGTCCAGTGTCTCTACCTGAATAGAAGGGCCTAGAATTAGGCCAGCCTGCAAATGGATCGATTAATTAGCTTTTTATATGACTTGAAGAAGGCATGGCACTATGTGGTTTAGTAGAATTTTTTTATAGATATCACCCGGTGTCTAAAATCCTAATGAACCCAACTGTTCTGGATACTACTCACTTAGGCTCACCAGATGGGCCTAATCGTTTAAAGCCCATATCTAGAACTTTCTAGAGGGAACTCATGGCAAGCCATAGAGGCTCACCACTGGGATATTCTCCATCCTGCACTGCTGCCCCACTGACAGGGAGCAGCTTGATGAGACAGCTCATAGGCTGACCAGCTCAAGCCTCCATGCAAGAGAGAATTCTTCTCTCTAAATACCCCTCTCACACATGGAGGAGGGAGCTTCTTCTTCCCCACTCTTGACTATGCTGTCACTCTGCCTCTATGTAGAGCACTCACACACACTCTCCCTTTGAGCACATACATACATGGGAAGCTTCACTAGTGGCTTGGTCTCTAGCATTGTCACTATGGACACCCCCTATATCAACATACTTCACCCTCCATGGGAGACATTTATGTACCACTATGAGTACACCAACTAATCTAGTTTTATGTTTAAGCCTCTCCACCTTTCCCAGGAATTGCTATCATCAGGAATCGAATTCACTATCTTTTGGACAGGTCAAATCCTAGGATCTAATTGAGTCACCACTAGACCAACAACTCTTGGGTTAATAGAAATTTTTAACAACGTGAAAATCAGTCAAGTTTAGCTTTCTATATTACAAGTTTATTCCCTACTTATTTGGAAAACATTAATTAACAATGTGAACAAGAAATTTTCAATTCATATAGGCTTTGACTAAAACATAAAAACATAGAAGTGGGGTATACTTACCATCATTTGTGAAATAAATAGAGGGAAGTCCAAAGGCTTTAGGAAGAAATGGCACATTTGGGTGATAGCAAAAATTACAAGCACTTGCAACTCAAACAATGGGAGGGATGACTTCATTGGATTCCAGATATCAATTTTGTCACGCCATATGCCATCTGAAACAATATGGGCTGGAAGAGGAAAGCAAACTGTGTACAAGGTTTCATTGATTTGTGTAATTGACACGAATAAAGACTCATTTGCTATTAAATTCATTTTTGCTCACAATACCAAGTTCCCAGATAGAGGAACGTAGAGAAATATGAGAATAAGAATTGAATGGAGAGAAAGTGATAGGAAGTAATATGACTCAATAGCTATATAGGTATCATAACTTCACCAAGTTTTGATCATAATAAAGTATGTGGTCAAATGCTTCCTTCTTGAACTTTAACAGACAAAGTAAGGAAAATTGACTAAATTTTAAGTTCAACCATATAGGAAACCGCAGCATACAACTCGACAAATAATTTTTAGAGTTTGTAGCTTATTTCAGTATCTACTTGAGACAGAACATCCGTATCAGAAGTAGAGACCATAACGGTGTATATTTATATAAATAGAGTTATCTATTTTCAACCTTATACTATAATTAGACATCATTTTTTATCTAATTTTTTTTTTTTTTCATTTTTAAATCATGTTACAACTACTGTTTTGTCTTGAAGAAAAAGAGAGATAAGAAATCTATGTTCGACTGTGTACCAAAATTAGACAACTTACGAAAACCTTTTTCATGTCTTGTACTCTTCCATTCATGACGTACCGAACACCATCACTTTTCAAAAAACATTTTCATAGACTATGTCACCTTCTAAGCAATTTTCTCTTCCCCAAATATGTTTTCTCATTAAATTTTTTGACCAATGAACTACAAGAGTTTTCATAATGGAACATGCTAGCAGCATACCTCATTTAAAAATAAGCTTGACTACTTTGTTGAATGAGTGTCTGTGAGATATTGTCCTAATAATTCACTTTAGCATTAACCAAAACAAATAATAATAATTAAATACTGTAACTTTTAACCGAGTGCGTCAATGCTTGGTAGAACTAGTCATATACTTGCCGATAGAGATAAATTATTACTGTAGTCTCAATTTTGAATAGAATTAATTTTTTACATGGTATCAAAATTTTTGCGTCACGAGTTCGATCTTTATCTCTCTCAATTTAATTAATAATTAATTAAATTTTGTAGAGTTTCTTAGCATAAGTAGTTGAACTTATATATTGTCCACCTTTTAAGTTTAATAGACTCTCGTGTAAGGAGACATATTAAAGAAATGTAAAATCATTAATATAACCTCACCTATAACTTGAACCTTTTAAGTTTTGAATTGATTTTTTACATTTGCTATACCCAAATTACTTAGGTGAAAGAAGAGTAACAAGTAGTGTGTCAAATTCTCCTTAACACAAAAAGACTAACATCTTGGCCTTTTGGTTTTGTTTGGTATCGTATAGAGAAATTATCTTAACCACCTTGTTTGATATTATTTAGGGAAAAACAAAATGACGCTTACCTCTTTTTGTTTTGATTTCATTGAGGAAGTATTTAATTTTTTAAGTATTCTGTATCTAATAAAAGTTAATTCTTTTGGTGAAAAAATAAAAAGGATTTAAAAAAAGATTTATAAAAATGGTAAAGTGAGAAAAACATTTAGCTTTCCTTACTAATCATTCCCCCCATAAGGGAGGGACCAAAAATATGTAGGGCCATGAAAAATTAATCTGTCCAACTTGAGACTTATTTCCATGGTCCTGGATCACGGGTCTCTTAGTATTATAAGAGGGGCAAAATGAAAAATAAATTAAAAATAAGGGCAAAATGAGAAATGAGTGAGAGGAAGCACAAAATTACTCAATGATCCAGGATCATAGAATTATTTTCCATCCAACCCTTACATACCAGCCAATGAAAAATTAGTGCAATCTTTTGCTTCTTGTTTTTTTCCTTTCTTTTTCACTCCAAAATAATATATGCTTTTTTTTGGTATGTTTTATTAATAAGATATAGTATTAATATGACAAATATTTTTTTTCTCTCTTCTCAATCACATTAATTGACATATAAAGTGAATTTGTTTTTTCATATTATAATTATGCCTTACTAATAAGATATGGTATAATACACGAAAAAGTCACAAATTGTCAAAATTCACTCCATCCACCAAATATATGCTTACTGAATACTATTGGAGGTCTCAAGTCTCAATAATAACAAATTGTTTAGAAACGATAGATGATATAAAATAAAATAAAAAAGTAAACACGCATGTGGTCTTTGTGTATCTATATTCTATCAATAGAAACATAAAATGTTAGTTAACATATTTTTTGAAGAAAAAAAAAACTTTAACATTATACTTATATATTCTACATTTTAACCTGGACTCGTACCGAGTGCTCAACGAAGATGTTCTCTCAGTGCAATTATGTTTGTCTTCCAATAATAAATCTTAATATATATAATCTTAAACTCGCCATTGGAAACTTTGCTGACGTGTCGCTCTGTCCTTCATTCTCAGCTTTGTGTTCACACTTGAGAAGAGTTTGAAAAGTTGCCTCTTTTGGAAATCTTTTACTTTTTGCAAAAAATTTTTTGTAAAAAGGGTGGGATAATATTTGAAATTTAAAATTCGTTGGTGGAAGACACGTGTATTAATGATCCACTACTTTCTGCATGGGTAGGTGGAAAAACATTAATATCCGATTACTTTTTGCATTGGTAGGTGAAAAAGTATTCAAATTCAAAATTTAAACTTAAAGGTGGGAAAAAAGATCATCGTTAATATCCCACTACTTTATGCATAGGTAATTGTTAACCCTATTAATATCCCACTAATGAGCCAGGGGTGGTAAACGAGCCAGGGGCCTTTGGCTTGGCTCGTAAAGGCCTGAGCTCGTTTAATAAAAGCTCGTGTTGGAACTAGGCTTGGACTTGTATAAAAGCTCGTTTAATAAAAAGGCCTCAGGCTCTAATTCAGAAGCTCGACCTTAGAGCCTCCCAGGCTAGCCTAGTATATAAATTTTTATTTATGCTTTTTATACTACTTGTAATAACTCTCTCTCATCAATTTATTTCACCCCATTTTATTAGTTTAACAGACTTTTTGAATGATTTTGTTCTATATTATGCTATTTGGATATATATTGAATTTATGTATATTTATGGAATTACTAGTGTTGTTCTATATTATCCTTCATCCTCCTTCACATAAACAAACCCAGAAAAACTCATTCGTTCCACTGTGCACTGCTCGTTTGTGTCAATTTATTTTTTATTTTATTTATTTATTTATTATTTTTGTTGGCACTTTTTTTATAATGGGCTAAGATAATATAACCTATTATCTACCTTCTCTTACTTTAATTTTTTTTATTTATTGTAGACTTTGTAAATTATTGCTGCAAATTGAAAGCTAAAGTTTCTATCTGGAAATTGATTTTTTGTGGAATTCTGTTCTCTTATTTTTATTCTTTAACATGCTAACAGGCTAAGACAGGTTTCACACAGACTTTTGT